TAATCCTGAAAACCAATATTGTATTCGGAATCCCCATGCTCGATTACCCCCCTGTGCCAACTCCCAGCCCCGTAGCTCAAACTTTGCAAAAAATCGATAAAATCGATAAAAGTAATCGATAATCCTGAAAACCAATATTGTATTCGGAATCCCCATGCTCGATTACCCCCCTGTGCCAACTCCCAGCCGCGTAGGTGAACTCAGCAAAAAAATCGATAAAAATCGATAAAATCGATATCGATCGATGACGAAAAGTAGCCTATGACACCCGCCGGGGCCCGTAGTGTATGTGTGCCAAGTTTGGTCCGGATCGGTTCAGAAATGGAATTTTCTATTCGGAACATACGTACATACATACATACAGACATACATACAGACAGACATACAAACAGACATTCAGCTTTATATATAAGATTGTATTCGGAATCCCCATGCTCGATTACCCCCCTGTGCCAACTCCCAGCCCCGTAGCTCAAACTTTGCAAAAAAATCGATAAAATCGATAAAAGTAATCGATAATCCTGAAAACCAATATTGTATTCGGAATCCCCATGCTCGATTACCCCCCTGTGCCAACTCCCAGCCCCGTAGCTCAAACTTTGCAAAAAATCGATAAAATCGATAAAAGTAATCGATAATCCTGAAAACCAATATTGTATTCGGAATCCCCATGCTCGATTACCCCCCTGTGCCAACTCCCAGCCGCGTAGGTGAACTCAGCAAAAAAATCGATAAAAATCGATAAAATCGATATCGATCGATGACGAAAAGTAGCCTATGACACCCGCCGGGGCCCGTAGTGTATGTGTGCCAAGTTTGGTCCGGATCGGTTCAGAAATGGAATTTTCTATTCGGAACATACGTACATACATACATACAGACATACATACAGACAGACATACAAACAGACATTCAGCTTTATATATAAGATACAAGTTATATACAAAAGGGGAAGGGAAAAGGGGGAGGCAACCGGCTCCTGCCGGCGGGCGGAGGTCCCTGCCAGGGGTTCGTTATCTTAAGCCAACCTCCATCGCGAGCAGCTGTTGGGTAATTGCTGCGTCCCGATATCTCCATTCCTTTAGAAAGCTCGTCCTCGAGCTTGTTTGGCTGTTGTTGAATGTCTTCCGAGTAACGTGTATAAGGATACACGTGATACGGCGAGACCATTAAGAACTTCGACTTCGGTACCATTACCCTCAGATTCATTCGCTAGGGAATTTGGTTTAGGTGAGCTGATAACCAACCAACGACCTTCACCTCATCCTGGGGATACTAAGTAAGCTTGTCCTCAAGCTGAGAGATATACGGAGTGAAGGATGTGAAGTACGGGGACTGCTTGGAAGAGGCAGTGACATGCAGTTGTAGCAAGTGTTGAAATGTATTCCCAAATATTGGCAAAGGGAATGATTGTTGTGGAAAATTGTAGGAGCATAATGTGACCGGTATTCAAAAGTTAATACGAGGAAGTTATGGGAAGGGCATTTGTTGGAGAACATGTTAATACAAAAAAAACTTAGTGAGCAGAAAATACATGGTTAACAAAGTACTGGGTGGTATTCGATGACATTAGTAGATAATTCTGGAGTTACATTTAACATACATTAGGTAGTTAACCGACATGTTGAATTTTGAAGTGTGATGATAAGAGAGTAATTTGAACCAAATGACACATAGTTATACAGCATATAAATAATGCGATTGTATAGAAACGGAGGAGAAGATTCAGATGCAGAATTGAGCACAACAAACTGTGTTTAATTCAACGTAGTGGCAAATTTTGAGCGTTAAAGAAACAGGGAAATTTTTTTTCGCTGCCTAGTACAAAATATTTCTTTCCATTCGTTCAGAGAAATTCATGATTATAGATACTCGCAGCGTGCGGCAAATATGTGTAAACAAACTCACGTTGTAAAAAAATCACGAAGGCGAAAAACGTCTTTAGTCAGTCTTTTTTTTCAACTGATTGCGTTGAAAAATTCTTGTGGTTTTGCAACTGATTTCAAGACTACAATCATGAATAAAAAACATGATGTCGTTCATCTTCTGGGCCCGTAGTAATCTACCCTACCTGCCGGCAGGTCTTGCCCTCAACTCGCCGCGATCTCGTCCTCAGGTCATGAAAACTGCCAACGCCCTCTATAGGTTCTTTAAAGCAATCAGTCTGGCACTCTCCAGGTCTGGCGGTCCAGCTTAGAGGTGGGCACCAGTTAGAGATCGAAAAAAATCCGAAAAATCCCGACAACTTCAAATTTTGGGCCCAAAAGATTGACCTGCCGGCAGCTTCGTGAGGTATTTTTTCGAGATTTCTGCCGCGATCTCGCCCTCAACCTGCCGGCTGACTGCTGACTCTCGTTGGTCCGACAAGAGTTCCATCCCACAAGGTGCAACGGTTTTGCGATCGATCTCAGATTGCTGCGTGATAACTATCAAGAAGGCATAGGAACTCGCGAATCTCATGCCCAAAACATGAGCTTCTCATGGGGTTCGCGAGGTCGCCGTCGTGTCTTATGCCAACATGTCGGGTGGATTACTACGGGCCCTGGTGGTTTCCTTTTTTTCAACATTTTTTTTTTTGAAATTAAGTTTGGAAAACATTAGCCGATAACCGACATTTACAAAATGGAAATGCAGATCGAGTTGTACAGCTGAATTAGACACAACAACAGTGTTAACATAAAACTACCAGAACTACCAAAACGCTTCCGCTGCAGGAACTGTGATATATATAGTTTATGGGTTATAAATTAACATATGATGATTCATTACTGATGTGCAATTTATGGAAGCTGTCTACGTTTTTTCAACGTCCAAATCCAATATACAAAATTCTATGGAATGAATGTTCCTTCTGCTGAAATCTGTAAAGGAATCATTGTCATCGTTTTCAGGGGAAAAAAAACGAGGACTGGGTCGTGAAAAGTTCTAAACAGTTTTTTTTTCATTACCAAGAAAGAATTTGGGTGGAGGAACGAACACCTCAATTAGGTACCGCCTCCGCGGGCTGCTGGTCCTTTCACCCTACTGTTATGCATCGTGTTGGGACCAGTAGTCTGCGGAGGCGGTGCCTAATTGAGGTGTTCGTTCCTCCACCCATACGGACCCAATCTTGTGGGACAGAAGCCAGGTGGATCCGTTTGGCGCGCAATTTCTGAGGGATCCACTCAACGAAACTGGATTATAGAGTGCAGAAGGCACTTTTTTCCTACCGTACCAAAATTAGTCGTAAAGCTTATATTGACTGTAGAAACATCCGAATTTACGCCAATAAATGTGCGCTGCGGTACGGGCGATGCATCTTCATTATTTAGTCAGAGTAGGGGGACTTTTTCGGCTAATTCAGTTGTATTCCGCGTATTAATGTTGTCCCACTTTATCTTGCACGTCTTTCAAAGGGAAAAAGTTAGCTGCTTGCGATGACTGCCAATGCAGACGTTTTTCTGACTTGTGAACACTAACTGCATACATATCGAGATCAGAAGGCTTCATAAAGCTGTAGAAAGGGAAAGCTAGCGCCCACGGAAGTTTTCTGGGATTAGCTGCTGCGAGAACGTGCCATCGATAGATTTCTGGCCCTTTTAGAGGCAATGATGCTTAGCCCGATTTCATTCTCCACTTCTATGTGTCATTTTTTTAGTTATACGCAGGTCCTTGTCTTTATTCCTTCTCGAATATGCTCCTAACAAGAAATATGAGTGAGCTTGGCTCTCTTTCCGTCGATACTTCGACATCGTTTGAGTCATTTAAAACCCGTAGCTCAGAAACAAAGAGAGAGTTTACACAAATCCGGACCATATCACGAAGGACGATATCTACAAGAAAATCAAAGATTTGACAAGTCAAGTACAAGAAGTTCAGGTTTACCAATTATGTGCACTCATCATAGCGTATAAGAACAGCGCACAGAACTACTCATACAAATTCTTTCAAGTCGAGTGATAATTCCAGTCTCTTTTTTTCTTCTCCCACAATAGACGACTTTGACTCGACTTTTCCGATGTACTACTTTGCACCAAACCTAGCAAGGAACATCTAAGCGGAAGTGCTACGATTTGCGCTGTACTTAGTGCCACTCTTGTCGTTTTCGGGTCTCAAATCATATCATTGGCTCCTAGCTTCATGTGGAGGCGGGTTGCGGACTTTCGCCTGAATAAAGTTGAAGTTCTTGAACCTGCTCGTTGCAGCATTGTTTTCATACTCTCTCAAGTTCATCCTTTTGATCAGCGAAATTCCGCAACCGCCTCCACACATGTGAAGCCGATCATACCTGACTATTTCTCTGCTGGCTAGAAGATTAAGAGTAAATAAAAACTTCTATGAAGAGTAAAGAAGAGTATCATCATGTCGTAAGAAGATCTTATGAGATCACAGACCATTGCGTAATAAGAAATAAATTCAATTTAAAAGAGATGGAACGTGGGCTCAACATCTTTTGAGCCTGTTCAGGAAAGAAAAGCATGCAATAAATATGCAAAAAATGAAATCTGCCATTACTGACACAAATAATCCAGCTGGTCTTGAAGCACACTATGCATTGCTAAAATTGCTGTACAATATGGAAGTGTCGATCTGCTCACTTACAATACATAGACACGTACTTAAATCTACACATGGCTGCGCAGAGCGCGCCCCACGACCCAGTACAAATTTAGCCGGCGCGCAGATAATTGGCGCTGGGATGCGCTATAGTATCGGGACTTGGCATTTTCATTACGCTCACTATCACTACTTCATTCTTGACAAGGTGCTTTACTGTTCTATCTCTATTTGTCTTCAGTACGTGGTCACTAGCTCCATTCTTGATAGAATGCTTTATTTTTTTCATTTGCATCGGTGTTCTCATCACGCTCACTACTCTGTACTTGATAGAATGTTTTACTATTCTATTTGCGTCGGTGTTTTCATCACGCTCACTACTCTTTTCTTGATAGAATGCTTTACTCTTCCATCTGCGTCCGTAGCTATCTCTGGCCAAGTGTTTGTAAACAATCTTTTTTTGCAGGTTTGTTGCAAGCTGTATGACGGTTGATGGATTTCGTAATCTTGCAGCACTAATTTTGTAGATGATCTGTCTGTCGTCAAGCGTGGAGTTTTTTGTCATACTATTGTAACTACGGTATTATAAAACTGATCATGAGGTTACAGTTAAGTATATTACTTGTAATAACTTGCATCCCAGTTCCGAGAATTTGTTCGGCACCGCTTTCTACTAGCTCTCACCTATTACAATGAAGATTTAGCCTATCGGAATAGTGTTTTGAACGGATATATAGCATTTCAGATGCGGCTGCTGTCGTGAGACAAACTGAGTTTTATTCGTTTGTACGGAAATTTGAGTTCAGAAGGATTTCTTTTGGCCGAAACTCAAGTTGAAGAAAACTTGTTTCTGGTGAAGGTGAGTGTTTTACATAAACGCAATAGGTTTACTCTGATGTAAAGTGTCAGATCACCATAGCTTAGGTAATATAATCACGCTCTTTACTTCTTTCGTAGTACTAGTACAGTTAGTAGATTTCCCTGATATCCATTACTTCTTTGTCACATTCCTTCACCTAACATTACTAGATTTTTGCATACAATCTACTTTGGTATTACGACCTTTCTTGCAGATGCATGTTTGGCTTACGATAAAACCAAAGATGTGCGTATTGCCAATGCTTCTACAAGATGCTCCAAGTGCGAGCACGCGTGATTTTATTTCTGCCCATTTCTTCTTCAGATGTAAAATTTCCTGATTTTTAGCCAGCAACAGCCAGAGTTCAACTGGAGTCGATGGCACGACTGGCAACGATTCAAATTAGTTTGTAATGAGAAAAGCCGAAGATGTCCTTTGTTTCAAAAGCCAGCTCAATTACTCCTTGTTATCTACTGAATTACCATCTACGATTTGCTGATTGTGGCTCGTATGATCGATATTTGATCTGCTTCAGTATTGTTGAGTTAACCGAAAAGAAATCCCATTTGTATATGCATACATTGACAACACAGATCTCAAACCTGGTAATAAATCTCTACATGCTAGTATAGTGGACTATACAAAAGCTTTAAAAAAGAAAGAATGTTGCGAGAGAGCGTTTACGTACTATGTTCGTTTTTGAAATGAAATCGTACAAAATCCCATTCGCGTACCTAAGATTGAAGACGGATAACTTACAACATGAACCGTTTGGCTGAGGTCACAAAAGTACGGAAAATGATTTTGAACCTCATTCCAATTACAAACATTATTTAGTGACCAGCTCGCTTCATGCGACCACCATCTCGATTATTCGAAAAAAAACCGCTGCTTTGCTCTTTATGGCGTCCTCTACCTATAACAACTAAGTGAGCAGTACCACTGTGATCCCTAGTTCCTGTCCGTTTCTCATATTTGCAATGAAAATCATGAGGAAAAGAAGTAAGTGATGTATCTGTTCATCACATCTGCAGATGACATGTAAACACTAGCATGATATAATTCCTCAAACAATAAGATAGGTACAACAGAAACAGATCCTTGATAGTGAGCGTGATGAAAACACCAACGCAAATAGAAAAGTAAAGCACTTTATGAAGAATGGAGTATTGAGCGTGACGAAAACACCGACGCAAATAGAAGAGTGAAGCACTTTATGAAAAATGGAGTAGTGATTGTGATGAAAACACTGTGATCGTGATGAAAACACCACAAGTCTCAGTACTATAGCGCGCCCCAGCGCCAATTCCCCGCGCGCCGGCTAAATTTGTACTGGGTCATGGGGCGCGATCTGCGCAGCCATGTGTAGATTTAAGTATGTGTCAATACATAGTTTTTTCAAATCATCTTGCACCAGGACTGACGAATGGATGCAGAAACAATGTCGTGCAATGTTTATTTGAAGCTCCTGGCCGTTATACTACTATTTTATCACCTCATTACAAGATTTTGGAGCGATTACATGCCTCAAATACTACCGCGTACATCAATAGCGTGAAGCTGCATGTTTCTGCAGTCAACATTAGTTTTACGCCTAATTTTGGCTACGGTAGGAGAAAAGTGCCTTCTGCACTCTATAATCCAGTCTCAACGAATCTACACGTGCTTTTGCATGTTAGACTTTCACGAAGGAAGCATGCGCTATGCAAATTTTGGGCTTAGAACACTGGCTGGAACACGCTCTACGAATTTCGTAACAGACGGACTCACACAGACACACACACACAAAAACACGTAAACAACCCTTAACCCGTTGTTATAAGGTGTCGTGGTTTTGTAAATTTATTATGTTGCTGAAATCAGTGTTTGGTAGTTCGGTAGTAGTGAGATTGAAATTTCATCAACTGTGATTTAGACAAAGTTACTTGCTACGGTTCCGCACATAAGCATTCCATTGTAAGGGAGATGCTTTTGCATCTCCGTTTGCATCTCCGATGGAATGCCAGAAGACATGATTCATATGTTTAAGGCGTGACCGACGATACGAAGATTCGAGGAGTTGCTCCTTCGCCCCGACACCGACCGGCCGTCCTACCGTACCCCTCTTCGTCTCTGGCTGATGCTGTCCCGATCCAGTGCCTTATCCAATCTCCATGCTCAACTACTCCACCGATGATCTCCTATTGCAGACTATTCATATACTGTCCTCTGTCTACATTGATGCCTTAACGATAAACTACTTAGTACTGATCGGTGTTCTGTTCTTGCCAGCCAGAAGCACGCCTCCACTGCCGCTACGCTTACTGGTAGCAGCGAGTGGTTCCACCGCCACGGAGGGAAGATAAGTTTTCTTTTTTGGTAGTTTTGTGTATTTTTGCCCTGGTGGGTTCCCGGTCGGTATCTTGGTGAATTTTCTTGAGAAAAGACAGTTGTAATAATTTTGCATTTTCACTGAGTTGCCTTTTCCTTGATCTAGGGCCCAGATCTCGTGAAATTTTGGTAACTTAACGCCTTTTTTTTGAACTAAAATGGTAAAATACGATTTTCTTTTCTCAAGCATTTTTTTCCATGGAAAATTTAATGTAGTGTGCGCACACCTGGTGGTGTCCGGACCTAGTGGTAATAGAACGCCAAGGAGGTGAGTATTGGTTATTGTGTTGTGCCCAGCGTATTATCAGGAAGGTATCCTGCGTTCTCCCCGGGTTGAGTTTGTGTTTCCTCGCGGATTAATGGACTTGTGTTTTTGGCTAGGCGTTCGCCCAAGTTGAATTGATATTAGTGTTGCCGGCGGCTGGGAATTATGATGTGTTAGAGTCCAGTAGAGTTGCCTCGAGGTAGTTCGCGAGGTGACATCCGCTTGAGGGTGTAAGGTGAGCTCGAGCATTGAGGTGATATAACTCAAAGGTGTTGATCGATCATTCGCTTACTATGTAAGTCACATATGGCGGCCCTTTCCAGATTAGCGCGCAGAGTTCTGGCCGCATTCCCCCAGATGGCCGTCTAGCTAGCGGTCGGCTCCAGTCTACTCCACTACACCATGCAATCAGCTAGGAAATCAGGTACGCTTTTATAAATTCTTGTTCCAATCATATCCTCTTATAACTTGAATTCTTTCTCTCACATTAGTTCCTCCTCATACTTTTGGTTGAATCCTCTCGTGGTGTAGACTGTTTGAGCGTGCGCGTGTATCGCGCTTGACTAGTAAATTACTATTGAGATACCTTTTGGAGATCTTTTCTTTCAACATAATTCCAAATTCATTTTGTGGTTTCGTATACTATTTATAGTTGGATATTTTGCTCATATAACTACTCTCCTTAGCTAATCTTACTGTATTTCTCTCGCAGTCTGCTCTCTCTCGCTCTCTATCTCTCGCTGTTTTCAATCGCCGATAATTTGAACTTCTTTGTTTCTCAGACTGTTTTCCATGCTCGCGCTAAGCTTTCAAGCACTTTCTCCTTGCGCCATGCAAAACTTCATTCAACTTGCGCTTGCGCTCATTTAAATCAGCTCTTTGTGTCTTTGTGAGCCAAGCTTGTTTCTTAGGGACTTTGCGCTCCGAATCGTATTTTCGCATTTTGCACTCAGCCGCGAGAAACTGTTTGAATTCTTTCGTATTACGGTATCTCTTCGTAACAAAAACCTAGCGCGACTCTTGAGAAAGTAGAGATAACGGCTTTCCGCAGCCAGATCATAAACATAGATAGGTCGTAGGGGAAATACCAAATAGCAAGCTAACATTTTCTCACATCCGGGGTAGATGCAAAACATAGATAACAGAGAAATAACACATGCTTAGCATATTCGAAAGTTTTTCTCTAGCATGACGGTTGCTGTCTTTGATCAGAAACATAGATATCCCCCTAGGAAAATATCTCGGCGCTACCACGTAACATTTGATAAGCAGCGCAACTATATAATAGGTCATCAGACTTAGTTGGCTTCATACTGACGAACAATTCGCAGTTCGCTCTCGCATCTTTCTTCAAGGTTTGGGCTTTCACTTCTACTCTTGTCTCTTAACTTCCCTGATATTGGGGCTTATCCCGTTTTAGCTTTCATGGTACCGATTACTCGCTCAAAGGGGCAGGTGGAGCAGCCCGCGTCGGATACCTCGAGCCACCTGGGACGCTTGAGGCTATCACGGCGCCTTTGACATCGGCGTTGGCGACCCTTGAGGACTCTGCCGTGGTTCATGGACGCGACGCCAAGGAATTGAAGAGTGCCACGACAGATGCTTTGGTCAACGCCTGGCGGGACGCTAAGAAGACTACCGCACAACTGGCGGAGAAGCTGAATCAAGGTAATTCAGATCTCTTAGAGGGGATTAACCAGTCTTTTGCTGTAGTGGGTTCTCGTATGGAACAATTTCCACTGGTTGCAACTTGCTGCCCTGATGGGCTCTCTTCCAGGATCGTCCCATTCTCGGGGACTTCTAACTCACAATCGTTTTCATTATGGTTGCGCCGCCTTGAGGACTCAATGCGCTTACGCAAAATCGTTACAGCGGAGGATAGGGCTAACTATCTAGTTGCGCATTTAGAGTTAATTAATCGCATTGACGTTGCAGCCTCTTACTTAGGTAACGGTTTTGTGCAAATCCATAATTGTATACGTATTCCTAAAGCTAACTATCGTATTCTACCTTTTAATTCTACATGCTATACTAAACCCCAAGTTCAGTTGACTTTACCTAGTGGGTCTTCTTGGGTCACCTTCATTGATCCTCATAATTGGGTGCTTACTTCCAACGCTGACCCGTTACCTTGCGCCAAACTCCGCCCCTTTTACTTCTCTCTTCCTGATGGAGTTCTCCAGTATGATGCACCTTCCCACTCATTCTCTAAAATATCTAATCAGCACATTCACAATATCTCATTGGCTTCTGTTCCCCATGACGTTAATTTCATTCCATCTCTTACAATCTTTCATAATCTAGTGCTTACGAACTTTAGTGAGCTCGTGCAAGAGCATCAGTTACAAGAACTTTGGACAGCTCAGAATTTTCACAAACTTATTGGTGCATCAGGTAACAATGATTACTCTTCTCAAGTTTCTCCTGATTCCCAATCTGGTAGCAGCTCTTCTCTTCTATTTGCCCTGATAGGGTTTTCTCCGTATAATGCATGGATAACTATTTGCTGCGCAAATGTGACTTTAGCAATTCTCAAGAAGTTACTTCTTTTGTACATCAACGTATCCTATGCGGGTATTCTCTCACGCATAGCTCCTTCTAGTTCGCATACTCCGATGCGTCCACTTCCTTTCATTTGTTCATCCTCTAGCAACCCAATTCCTGTACCTTCTTTAGCAAATACCTTAGAGGAACAGCCCATCGAGCTTACTCGTCTTGCGCTAGACTCTTCGCACGCATGGCCACCTAAACTAACAATAGCTCCGGTCCACGTCTTATCCTTGTATGATAATACCCACTTCTTTGTGGCGCAAATTCCTATTAAAGCGAACGGTATAGCTTTATTAGGCCTTATTGACACTGGCGCCGCTATTTCCGTCGCAAGCCGCGAATTGGCAACCTTGGTAGGTATCTTCTACTTCGAGCGCAGCCCAGTGGACACCGCCATCGGGATGGCGGGTATACCCATAGGTCTCCTAGGATGCGCACGTCTTAATCTCCAGATAGGGTCATATCACATCTCTGCTGCTGTACATTTTACTGATGAATCTTCAATCCCCCATCATGCAGCCTCTTTTAATCTCATCCTAGGTAACAATGTATTGTCTCAACTCCCACCTTGGTCCATCGATTATACAAATCATACTTTTACTATTAATGGCGAGCAAATCCGAATCTTTGGCACTGTGTCACAACGTCTGCAAGCGGAAGTAGAAGGAGATGTAATCGTTCGTGTTTCAGAAACAACACCTTTACAACCTGGAACCGAAACGTAGTTCCCAAGTGTTATATAAGAATCAGAGAATTTCTACGGCGGTTCCACTAGTAGAGGAGAATGGGGTGCTTTCGGACCCTCGGTGTTTTTAGCATGAGTTTGTTTGCCTTACAACCTCTTGCTGCGGCTGATCGCTGTCCCCTTCCAGAACCCAAAGCTGATTTTGTTGTTGATCTTAGCAGGTCCGAAGTTTCTGACAAAGAGAAAGAGCAGTTACAAGCTCTCTTTTACGAGTTTCGCGATAGGATATCCCAAAGTTCCTATGACCTAGGTTCATACGATTGCGAGGCAATCCACATCAAGACCACTACCGAAATTCCTCCTACTAGGTTCCGATCTACCCGCATCCCGGTTAAGTTCCAGAAGGAGCTTGACGACCACATTAATAAATTGTTGAAAGCCGGTAGGATTAGAGAGAGTGATACCCCATGGGTTCATAACACGGTTTTGGTTAAGAAGCGCGATGGTACCCTTCGCGTTTGTCTCGATTTTCGCCCACTAAATGATATTACCATCCCCGACCATTATCCCTTGCCCCGTATTGACGATATCTTAGAAAAGATTGCGGGCAATAGGTATTATACATCCCTTGACCTAGCATCTGGGTACATGCAACTTTTACTTTCACCGGAGAGTCAAGCCAAATGCGGTTGGGCAACTCACCGAGGAGTTTACCAGTTCGTTTATCTCCCCTTCGGACTCAAAAACGCCGGCGCGTATTTCTCTCGTGCCATGTCCCGTATCCTAGCCGGTCTGGAAGAGAACTGCCTGGCTTACCTGGATGATATTGTTATTTTCGACAAGGACTTCCCAAGCCACCTAAAGTCTTTGCGTAAAGTATTCCGCCGCTTTCGTGATTTCGATATCAAGGTATCAGGCAAGAAATTGGTTGACATCGCGCGCTCTAAAATCACCTTCCTGGGGCACGAAATTTCAGGAGATAGTTATTACCCCTGCGATAGGAACATTCAAGCGGTTAAGCGCCTCCCTACCCCTTCTACAGTCAAAGAAGTCAAATGCTTTTTGGGAATGGTTAACTTCTTTCGAAAGTTCATACAAAATTTCGCCGCCATAGCAGCACCTCTGTACGAACTGACCAAGGACAAAGCAAAATTTGAATGGGGTCCGCGCCAGCAACAAGCTTTTGACGAACTACGGAATAAACTCATAACCAAGCCATGTTTGGCGTTCCCTCAAGAACGTGATTTCATCCTCCACACGGATGGTAGCCAAGTTGCTGTAGGCGCCGCGTTATTCCAGCAAGCAGCCAGCGATGAGAAATCCCTATTAGCTATTGGCTATTACAGTAAAGCTCTATCCCAGTCTCAACAAAAGTGGAGCCCCACTCACATAGAACTTTTTGCAATGGTAAGCGCTCTTCGTTTCTTCAAAGCCACTATTTACGGTTATCTGACCCGTATTTTCTCTGACCACCGCCCACTGACGTATCTTCTCAAACACAATAAGACCCATGATAATTTAGCGCGATGGGTAATCGAGCTGCAAAGTTATAACATAACCACAGAATATTTGAAGGGATCATCAAATGTTGTGGCCGATTGCCTTTCACGATCAGTCAACCCTCAGGTTCAGTTTCAGGATAACACCCCAGAATCTGAAGACGTCGTAGAGTTTCCTATGTGTCTAGCGGTACAAGGATATTGTTTGCGTTCTCTCCAACCAACTAATTCCTTCCTCGTTACTCCAATTGCGATTAAGCCGTACGATGCCTTACTAGAACAGAAGCGCGACCCAGTTTGTAGCCCTATCATGTCGTTCCTGGAAACAGGACAATTCCCTGAAAATGTCTCGGAAACAGATAAGGCCCAGTAGCTTCGGTTAGCTGAAGATTGCCACCTACGCGCAAATGGTTGTTTGTACCATCTTACCAAGTCCCCCCATCGCCCCGACGCTGTTATAGAACAACTCTTCTTACCGGAAAAACTGCGCGAACCGGTTTTTCACGCAATGCACACCAGTGCTACAGCTGGCGGACATTTTAATTGGCGTAAAACTTTAGCGAAAATCGCGCGAAAATACTTTTGGCCACATATATCCGAGCAGATTTTCGCCCTTTCCAAAGCGAGTGATTCCTGTCAACGCAAACGCGCCCAGGCACTCAATCGCGAGAAATTACTCCCAGTAGTTACCACAACCGTATTCGATAAGGTTTACATGGACCTTACCGGCCCTTTACACACCTCCGAGTCAGGTAATAAGTACGTGCTGGCCCTGTTGGACCACTTCTCCAAGTATGTTATCACAGCACCCTTAACGGATTGCAGCGCGGTCACAGTAGCTCACGCCATTATGACTGAATGTATACTCAAATTCGGTGTCATGACGCAACTGATTTCAGACAATGCCTCCTACTTCAAAGGAGAGCTCATATCCGAGATCGGACGGTTGCTACGCATTGGACGATATTTTACCACTCCGTATCACCACGAAGGCAATGGAGCTTGTGAGCGTATTTTTGCTACTTTTCATCCTATGCTTCGTACTTATATCAACGAGAATCAGACTGACTGGGACAAATTTGTGCCAGCCTGTGCCTTTATGTACAATACTTCCGTTCATACTAGTACTAATAATACTCCTTTCTTTTTGATTTTTGGACGTGATCCTGTTTTTAACATTGATTTGCTCATCAAGCATGATTCTCAGAGACATACGCCTACTGACCAAGACTCTAGCATTTATCTCGAGAACTTAGTTGCTACTCTCCATGCCGCTTGGCGCGCTGCCGCCAAACACAACGAACTTCAACGCAACAAGTTCAAGTTTCAGTTTGATAATACGCATCTCTCTCCATTATCCATTAAAGTCGGCGATCGAGTCTATTTACGTGATTTTGCTCCTTAAGTCGGACTTTCTGCTAAGCTAGCTTATCCTTGGTTAGGCCAGTTCCGCGTGTTGGAAGTAAATCATCCTCATCTTACCATACCTAGTATTACCGCACCACAGTCTAAACCTAAAATTGTTCACATGAATCAAGTTAAGCGATGTTTTGAACTTAGTGGTCCCGTATTTACTACTCCTTGGCAGCCAGAGCCTGAACAATTAGCCTTAACTCATCATCAAACTATTGATACTGATCTGGTAGGATATCAGCATCAAACTCTGACTAATCAGCCTTTGACAGAATCTGAACCGTCACCATCACATCCGTATAACACTCGCTTTAGATCACGAAGAACATCACTTTAACCTGTTGGTTGCCCTCCCAGTACTCGCCATCATTTATGTATGAATCCATAATTATTCCTTTCCAACACGTTTTATCCTCTCAAACACTCGTGATTCCATCACAGATTTCCTTCTCTCCTCCTCATTACAATTCTCGCGTATAGTGTTCGTGTTTATTAATATCTATCGTCGTCTTATAACCTCGTGCTTTTCGCTTACCGCCGCATCTTTCGTCTCCCTGACATCAGGCAGATCACTATATTCTTTGCTTGCAGATAAGCTTGGCGAAGAGCCCTTTGCGTTCGTATGTCTTCGCTAACTCCAGACGCAAACGATCCTGGTCCCGGGCAGCCTGCTAAGCCTAGTGCTAGCCCTGCTGGACCCTCACCAGTGACATCCTCGTCAGGTTTGTTTAGCTTTCGCAAGCCGTGACTCGGCATGCTTTCAAGTGATCATAAGATTCCCTTTCCATACAATTCTTCGTTTACCTTCTGCTCGTATAATTGTGACGTTCTGTCGTTTAGGATTACCCGGCGAGGCTATGGAAGGCGACTCGACAGTTACTCCTACACCAGCTGCAGGCATGGAACAACTGACCGCGCCTACTCATGTGCCACTCACCTCCGAGCCGAGAGAAATGGAAGCATTGATGTCCACTTCTTCCACCAGTGCCGAGCGTGAATCTTCCTCAACCTCTGATCTTGGGGTCCCCGCACGCGAGGAGCATGACAGCGAATGGCTTTGGCTTGAAGATCGTCTTGACCAGTTTGATAGCTACATTCGTGATCCTCGCGCAGCGAAGAAGCGCATGGCTCATCTCTTTAGAGTTGCTTGTTCAGCACTCGCTGCGGCCGAATCGTCTACTGAAGAACCTTGAGCGGAATCTCATCCTCTCATACGCCCTGGCAGTTTCTCGCTCGTTATCGACTTCTTGCAAGTACCTGATGGTGCTTACCCAGTTCTTCCTCTCAAGACATCGTTATTCTCCTCACCACCCGAACTGATTTTGAGCCTACTTCTGGCGAGTTCCTAGATGACCAAAAACGCATGAATGTTGCGCTCACCCGTTCCCGCCAAGGTTTGTTCGTGCTGGGCCATACTGATTCACTTCGTCGCATCAACTTCTGGAACCGAGTGTTGGCCTGGGCCGAGGAACGCCACGCCGTAGTACCTACCGCTCAACTGGACCAGTATCTACCTCCTGCACAACGGTAGGATTTTCATAACCAGCTCTCTTTATATATACTTTCATTATATATATATATATATATCTTTAATTGTTTTCTTTATATTCATAGACACTATCTGTTTATATTTTATGATATACTACACCTTTATTTATACACTTCCGTATATACTTCTTTATATACTTCTTTCCATATACTTTGCTTTGCATACTTTTTCTTAGTTAGAAGTCCGGGGACGGACTTGTTGGTAAATAAGGGAGGTGTAAGGGAGATGCTTTTGCATCTCCGTTTGCATTTCCGATGGAATGCCAGAAGACATGATTCATATGTTTAGGGCGTGACCGACGATACGAAGATTCGAGGAGTTGCTCCTTCGCCCCGACACCGACCGGCCGTCCTACCGTACCCCTCCTCGTCTCTGGCTGATGCTGTCCCGATCCAGTGCCTTATCCAATCTCCATGCTCAACCACTCCACCGATGATCTCCTATTGCCGACTATTCATATACTGTCCTCTGTCTACATTGATGCCTTAACGATAAACTACTTAGTACTGATCGGTGTTCTGTTCTTGCCAGCCAGAAGCACGCCTCCACTGCCGCTACGCTTACTCCATCGCGATATTCCGAAACACTTCAGGGAAAGTTTTTCTCAAACAAGTCTACATTTTTTCAGCCCTCATTTCAGTGGTTTCCGAATGAGGAACTAGAATCCAAAAAAAAATTCATTTTCAATAAAGTTATGAGCCTGCGATGTTTTCTCGCAGATCAATCCGTTGCCACCCTACTGTGTTTAGGGGCAGTGGATCGGCAAAACTTAACAATTCAGGATTTTAACGCAGTGAGTTCCTAAGCGCCCAAGTTTGAAAACAGAGCAATCCCGGTTGCACTGCATGCCTTCCCTGCCGAGAAAATTGCTCTCAAACTTACATGCGCAGACTAATCTTACACGCATCGGGACGAGTTGGCGAATTCCTTCTCACCATTGGAGGCTGCCCGCCGCAATGCTATAACCATTAGGTGCAGCAACGATTCAGCATCATCAGCCTTGCTCCACTCGTCCAAGTCCAAAAAGAAGGGCATTGAAACGCTCGTCTTCGCCGTTTTCAAGCTCTCAGAAGTGCATTTTCGGAATCAGCGTATTGAATAACCCCAGGTAAGCGAAAATTTCATTAGGTTGAGATTTGCCCACTGCCTTTAAGAAATGTGATTTCCTGTTGATTTGTCTGCAGCGGGGGAAAAAGCGTTTTTTTTACGCGAGTTAGGGGCTGCATAGTATGAATGACTCACTTGCACATTTTTATGTTATAGGTGACTATCCATGCAACAACGTGCCGGCAAAACATCTTGGTTGTCAGCCTTGGGAGACGTTCGAAAGGCGCATGTTGACCGGCTGTCACTAAGTAAGAGGATGAGGAAAAGGGTTGAAATTTATATTTTGCTCTCAGATTTGAACTCGTAAATCCTTCGCTACACTTTCTTATTTATTGACAAAACCTTCGAAACTCGAAAACCTTGCTTTTGTAGAGTATAGTTCCATTCTGGTAACCGCGACTGCCGAAACTCATCCCTTTCGACATACCGCCGTCAGCCTTTCAGTGAGGACGTCAAAGGCTGATCCTTGACGAAGGCGGTCTTTATCGTGCAAAGCGGCTACGAATGGCGTGCTCGAGCATCTCCTATTGGAGCTCGTACGCCCGCGAACGCCTCGCGTACATGGTCGACCGCCTTCGATCCGGACTAGCTTTTACAGCATGTTCCGAGTGGTCATGCGCGTCGCAAGTCAGAGACGCAGAGCAGAGGTAGCAACAATTGTGGATTACATGATGACAGTTTGAACAATTCAAAAAATATGTATACAGTATGCATTTGTGGCCTGCAAGTTTAACACTGACATCTGGCAAAACGCCTAATCGCGTGGCGACATAGTCAGGCGAAGTATGCGGGCGGGCAGGTGTCTAGCCTCCGTTACCTATTAGGTGGACGACTTGCATCGACCTGCAGGTTTTTGCGTAAGATATCTATAAGGAGAAGGTGGCCTCCCAAGCAATGGCATGCAAGTCGATGCTATTCACTTAAATATCTCAGCGACGAGTGCGCCGTCTGCGCTGTCGCTTTGGCGATGTCTTATCTAAATAAACCCCCAAAATCAGTATTCACTCGCGATCTCCATGTATCCACATTTGTCTATGATTTCAACAGCATTGGTTACGGGCAAAGGTCATATGGTTCTGAAGCGGACTTTAACAGTGTTAGGAGAGCGACAAAGCAGAAAATGAGCGAAGTCTTCCAGATATCTAGCGAACCCGTTGATCCACTAACCAATCGCTTGAAACTTTATTAACGAACTTTTCGAATCATGTAATATCAATATGCGTCTTTTTCAACGATTTCCTTCAGCTGTAACAAACACACGAGCAGTTTTTTTCTTGACCGTTTTCTTCGGTTTCTCAGACTTTTTCCTTTTGACGAGCGAGCCAAGCGGCGTAGTTGATGCGCTCTCCTCATTCTTTTTTGACGTCCTTCGTGAGCCTCTTGGAGTCTCTCCTCGGCACCTAACTTTTTCGTAGGATGGCTTGTAGGTTTCGTCTGAGGTCTTGTCCAATTCAACGGAAGCTTTGGCAGGATCGGACTTCATTGGTAACATTGCTGTCCTAGCCAACGGAGTGGAAACTTCTCTGCTTGCTCGTCTTTCGTCGGACTTCTGCAACAGAAAATCATTACAAGCTCTTGTGCTGACGAAAAATGGAAATTATTCGCATTCTTTTAGGTGAAAAAAAAAAAGCTTTTTACCCATTGTGTAAACAGATTCAACAGCAATGAATTGAATATGAAACAAAAAATCAAATTCACCTCTTCTAATGCTGGTATCTTGAGAACTTCTCTTTCCTTGCTTTCAGATTCTCTCGATGCATCGCCTTTTTTCTGTAAATGGGACATTTAAAGCTAGAGACAGCGATTTGTACACTTAGACCTTAAGCTCCTCTTTATCGCTCCAGTCGCTTACAATGTCATCAAGAGTCGGATACGCATGTTGTCCTGCTTTTAGTCCTCCTTTTATCAAAACCTTAAAGTTGTGTAAATTATGGCAGCATCTTTCCTCCCCTGTTCCGATTTTTTTCGTATACAAATGACTTTTGCGCTAACATCTACCCTTTGATTCAACTGGATTGGCGGTTGGAAGGCGGGGCCTAGTGACCTAATTAAGGCTAGATAATGATCAGAGAGCACGCGCGCAAGACAGACGTTGCGGGGCCGGGCGGCCTCAGTTGGGTCATAGAGCCCCGCTCTCCTGCTGCCAAGCCACTTGAATCAAAGGTTAAAAATCACCTCCTTTTCGTTGAGCGCGATTATCCTTGGCTTAAATGGGGCAAAATATTTCCTTTTAGGAGGTTCGTCAACTTTCATTGTCTGCAAAGTAATCTCATAGGCGCAATTTTTCGAGAGTCACTTACCGAACTACCAAGTTTTGCTTGTTTCTTGGCACAGCATGAGATTGCTAATACTATGACCATTCTTATGTATATTAGGACAAGTAAGTATTGTAACATTGCATCCATATTTATCTGAATGGGAGGAACTGTAGCATCGTGGGGGTTATACACTGCACCTGCCTGTTGCAGATGGAAGCCGCTTTCTTGCGACCCTTCTTAATAGTAGAGAAACTATAGAAATGAATAGCACTGAACCCGAAAACTGATGAGAGGTGTGATAAATTGACGAATCTGGCATCATCATGGCTCAGTTCATGCTGCTGACAACAGTTAACAGAGCGGCCTTTAACGTACCCCATCAGTCTGATGAGTGGGATTGCATTGTGTTATATGTGTAGGTACCACTTCGAAACTCAAGATGTTAGAGTTTGCAGCTGTCTTTCTTTTGGATTAGCCTGAAAATATGATGACGAAGACAGTGCTTTCTTACGCAGTAGCTGCTTTTGCGCAGTTATACCGTTGTAGAGTGCGGGAACAAAATTAAAAAGATTGCTGAAAATCTTCTAAAAGTTTATATCCATTCAGCACGCTGTTCACGAATTGACGGAGCCTATTTTTGATGGTGGATCATATGCAAATCACTTCCACCTTGGCCAAATGTGAATGCATTTCAGCATCATGTGATGCCAAGCTGTATATCGTCGAGTCATTTGTAAATTAGTATGAGTAGTGCACACTATACACGCTAACTGACGATTTGCGAAACTAGAACCTGCTCATCTCCAGTGATTTCTCCCCGTTTCCTTGTTTCTTTTGTTTTAGTTGATTATATATTAGTCAGCAGAACACAATTCTACATCTTCTCAGGCTAGAAAATGTTTTACTGGGGAGTTACTTATGGCTGCCGTCGCTAATAGGGCTTAGTGTGCAATCTCACATATCAAGTTACAAATGACTCGAGGTTAAGTTCTCAATCCGAAGTTGCGACTTATACATTTCTAGATCAGCTTGCTAGTCACACGTAGGAAATGCATATTTAGGAGGCAACCACTGATTGTTGATATTTGATGATATCGGTGCCCATGCCTGCGAACTTAGGCAACTTTGCTCCTACTTACCTAATTGAGCATATGCGACTGCTCACCATTAATTAGTAACTGGCATGTCATACGAATCAAGCAGCATGGTTTAAGACAGAAAATACGTGAAAAATTAGACAAATCATTTAAATCAGTTTATTACTATTAGAGATGAGTCTATCTTTGCTAATCGCTCGGATGTTCAGAGGGAATGTGACAAGCACCATTTTGAGCTATACTTCTGACTATACAATGAAGATCAACCGTAGGCACACGAAGGAATGTTTGTGAGTACTAAACTCTCATATATCTAATTAGCTTTGGCACTAGCAGTTTTCTTCTCTTCTCTTTGTTTTCTCCAAGAAGAGCCATCCAAGTCTATCCATTCGAGCCAATCGTCGCATATAGTTCGGTTGTCCTACAATGTATAGAGATGCCGAATCCACTTGGAAGTGCTTTAGTAGTATCCCAATCAAGAGTTATATTCAGAGAATCAGAAAGAATCAGAGAACACACCTCATCCAAAACAACTCCGCTGAGTGCCATAAGCGCAGACTTGTCTTTAATTGCGAAGCCATTAGCCAGGTAAGCATCGATTTGTGCCAAAAGTCCCTTGTATTCTCCTTTGGAAGAGAAGCATATGAATCGACCAGACTTATCCATAACGACAACATCTTCACCGTATCTACAGTAACACATCAGAATGCAAAACTTAAAGTGGAAACTCTTCTTACTTGCGAATCGTTCGTGGGAAAAATATATCACTTCCTTCCTTTCCAGCTTTGCTGAACGAGGCCTTTATTTTCCCAGCATTCGTGTCGATAAGAACCATTCGCTGCCTAAACTTCTTCATAAGATTCCGATATAGGCTTGTCAACTGAATTCAGCGCATTACTATAAAAGTGCACAACATACTTAGAATACATATTTACAGGTCGTGTTGACATAGCGGCAAGCAGTGTATCATTGTCTAACGCACATAAAGCGTAGAAGGCATCAGAAGATGACTGGACCACTTCGTCCCAAGAGAGAGGAGCATCTACTGAAGATCTGCAATCATGATTTTTTTGCGGGAAGATTGTAAGGTGCACTTGTATCCGCGAAAATAAAAAACTGCCAGAATAAAAACTCCAAACCTCAATAAAATTGTCTTATCAATATGAATATTCTCAACTATTAGGCCAAAAAATGTATAGCTACCGCGAATCAGGCAAAAAATCCAAAAGAATCACAAAGAAACATGTCGATGATAAAATGGTCATAAAAGGAGATGGAGTCAAGAATTGATGTAAAAAAACTTGTAACAACATTACTTCGGAGGAGTTCAGGAAAATTCAATGAAACTGACCGGTATATGAAAGATTTTGGCCCTTCCGGTTGTTTACTGATGTACATGTCTCCATTGTCAGCAATAGTCAAAGAGATCACTGTAAAGCATAAGACTAACTTCTTTCACGCAAGAAAAAATCAGCCAAGGAAAAATGATAGGATTCCACTTACCTAGTCCGTCTATGAAACTTTCGTGTTTCATCTCGCCGGACATCGTAAAAAATCTCAATTCAGTTGTCCGTTCTTTATCTTCGGCACAAGTGTATATTATCTAAAAAATCAAATGAATAAAATAGACACAGATTTTTCGTCCTAAGATCTAAGCATGCGAGGAAATTTGTACAAATACGTATGAAAAGTAAAAAGTTCATAAGTGGTTACAAAACTCACCATATCGTTATGGAACAACACTTGCGGGAATGGAGCCATCTTCTTCGGGAACATATTCTTCCGCTCCCAAATGGTCGTCCGCCGTGTTCCATCGAACTTGAAAAGACCTCCTTTCGTGGCCACCTAAGATTTCAACTAGAGAAGCACGCGAATGTTGACGGGAAGCCATAGTTAGCTGCAGCAAATACTAACAAGTAAAGTAGTACCCAAACATTCCCTTCCGAGTCGAAGCAGATGTTGTAGGGTACGGTAGCTCCACGAGGTGTTAGATGGAGCCACATCTCATCAAAGCGTTGGAGGTCAGACGTGTCAGACTTTGCCTCCACCATCCCTGAAAGGAAGATTAAGCAAATTCATGCTAAACTGACAGCTGATTGATAACTGACAAGTCGACAATATCAAGAATATTCACTAACGAGTTTGATGAAAAATTTTCGTACCCTCTGCATAAAAAGTTTGCTCGAAATATGACTTAGCAGATAGAAGCTAAACACTCACGAATTTGGCGCAGAAAAAGTGAAAAACAACCATTCGCTTTAGAAAATGTACAGGCAGGCACAATATACAACAGCAAGTGTTATACTGTGATCAGAAACAAAATTGACATGATCGCCTACGGAAGCAAATGATTCTGCATGAAGGAAAGCAGACAAAAGAAGACGCAGATGTCATAAAAGTAAAGACTGTTGGTGATTACATAAAATACTAGCTGGCTTACCCGGCTCCGCCGTATGTTTCTAGAAAATTCCATTTCTTAACCGATCCGGACCAAACTTGGCACACATACACTTCGGGCCCCGGCGGATGTCACAGTCCACTTTTCGTTATCGATGTCGATGTCGATTTCGATTTTTCGCAAAATTTGAGCTAAGGGGCTGGAATTTGGCAGAGGGGTGTAATCGAGCATGCTGATCACCCCCACGGGGGTGATCAGCATGCTCGATTACCCCCCCCCTGTGTCAACTCCCAGCCCCGTAGCTCAAATTTTGCAAAAAATCGATAAAATCGATATCGATCGATGACGAAAAGTAGCCTATGACACCCGCCGGGGCCCAAAGTGTATGTGTGCCAAGTTTGGTCCCGATCGGTTCAGAAATGGAATTTTCTATTCGGAACATACGTACATACAGACAGACATACAGACAAACAGACATTCAGCTTTATATATAAGATAAAATTTACAAGCGTAGTTGTGATATCATTAGCTGCATAGTGAAAAAACATTTCTATCATCGTGCCGATGATGATGCCCCGCCGCGACCTTAGGTCACGCCGAGATAGGCGTGGCCGAACTTACTCCCCTCTCTCCACTTGCATATTTACTGTGGAACAGAAAGGTATCGTTCTCCTGCTCGCATACTCGCTGCACTCTTGTTAACTCATTAATAAATCCTGAACCACCGTCTTTTGTACTTGTATTCTCGTTACGGGCAAAACCGCCCAAGAGTCTCTAGTACCCGCAATAATTTCATTTGTTGAGGAAGGCTAAGAACGAAACAATAACGTCACACTGTTCGCAGGAATGTTTGATGCACGTAACTTCTGTTTGGAGTGGTAAACTAGTGAAAATCGCTTGAGATTTTGTAGGTGACTGGACGAATCAGCAATGATTGATTTTTCGAATGTGGCTGGAAGGATGAATGAGCCGTATTAAAGGATGAATACCTTCCCCTCTGCACAATCGATGATTTAGTGGCAAAGGATGGAAAAGCCCACAAAGCTTTTGATGCGAACAGCATGGTAAGGGACGAAAAGTTGAAAACAAGTTAGAAATGGCAAGCAGTAAGATAGGACTTTTAGAATAAGATATACCGAAGAACATATGGGACGAAAGGCCATTCAAAACAAAATGAAAGACCATTCAAGGCCAAGTATCAGTAAAGGACGCAGTTACACTGATCACACTGCGCAGACGTCAATGTAGACGGAGGAGAACTTCTACACTGAATCGGGCAGTCACTCACTCATTCTTCGAACGAAATGGTCCTACCACATACAAAACTGTTAAACAATAAAGCGGATTGTATGGAGATAACACAATGTCCAACCTAGGTAAAACGAAAAATTCCTAGGAATGAAGGACCATTCAAGGCCAAGTATCGCAAGTGGACGCAGTTGCACAACGCGCCCTATGCAAACGGCAATTGAGCGGAGAGTTGAAATTTTGCATTTTGTAGAGGAAGTTTCGCGCACAAACCTGTATAGAGCTGTATAGGCATTCAAGGAGAAGAATGCAGGAGAAGAATGGAAGGAATATATGTAGATATGGGAATGATTTTTCTTACGTTATAGTGTTTCAGTCGAAGAACATTGTGACATAAGCAAAGCCTCTGAGCTTCTTGGTAATGAGATAGGATAACTTATAACAAGAGGAATCACCGCTTAATCTCATTACACTTTGCTCACATCGGGAACATTCAAATATGGTCACTGCATTTGCAACTAAAAGTAGCAAAGAATGTCAGCAGCATTGCATTTGCTTTGCAAAGCCGTTCGAAAATAAATCTTTTGTGAAAATTCCGCATCATAGTCTTTTGCTCACTAAAAGCCTATGAAAGTCAAAATTTTTGGGTTTTTGAACGAACTTGTAGCGATAACGTTATCAGCGGATACTTTTGCAGTTCTACAAGCGCACCTCTGTTACATTAGATCGGAATCAGATAGTCATCGGAACTTGTACGGACATCGATCGCGGCCCTATCGTGACTCAGTGTGCCCTTCTGTGTGCGTGTGTCATCTCTGCTCGTCCTTGGATTCACCATTAATGCGACCATTGATGCGCCTCCTATTCATTAATTCGATCGATAAGATGCTAATGTGGAGTTATGTGGAAAAAATATTTTTCACATCAAGTAAAGTAATCGCATCGCTCTGGTGATGTCTTTAAATGTCCTTTTTTTCTCACAAAGGATGCCAAATTTCGCAAAAAAAAGCAACAGAGATAGAACCTAGGATACATGTGATGCAAAGCTTCCCCAATTCCAATCAAATTCGAAACCACAGCGTTCAAGGAGCCTTCAAAAATTGCAAAAATCTGCAGGGCGTCATTTTTGTTTAACGCAAATGTTTTTTATTGTGGTTTTTATGTATTTTCGCGAAGCCAGAATACAACCATCATATAGAGCAGAGCTTTCATTCTCCTTGGAAGATTTTTATTTTATAAATTTTTTTGTCACACTGATAATGTGAATTGTGCAAATCATGATTTCCTATGATTTTCAAATAAAAAATAAATTTTATAGTCAGAAATTTGCGATTATAATGTTTGCTGTTGTTTATAGTCATTCTTTGGCGATTTTTTGCGTATGTTTTTCTTCACAGACCATCTTGCTGTATTATAACTCAGTTTCGGTAATCTACTAATACGATATTATGAGTGTGGAAGTTTAGTAAGATTTTTCTAGAAAAAACTGCAATTTTGAAAATTTTTGGGAACTTATACAACGCACCACCTGAACAAATCAGATTTTTCGTACTTATCTGTGTTGGAGTGTATGTAACGGAAAAATAAAGGAAAAACTTTCGGGATGACTTATTTATTAGTTCTGTCAAAGCAAAGGAAAATCAACCCTTATCTGATGTCATCTTTTGTTGCAAAAATTTGAGTTTTGGGTTTTCGAATGAATAGCGAAAGTTTCGATTCTAATCCTTACGATGGAGACTCGCTATGACAGAATGGATGGTCAGGAAGCTTAGTAAAAATTTTTGACTTCTTCCTTGTCCAACGTTTGCGTTTTTTGTATAGCTCACAATATTCACAATAGCTTTGAACTTCCTCATCCATCAAGCTTGATTTGAGTCACAACGTGTACAATTAAGAACTGCAGAACGGATAAAGCCTTGAGAAGGGCTAGCATTATATTTATTTCGATGGTGTTGGAGATGTTGCTTAATACTTGCTGTATGCATTTTCACTGACTATCACTTCCTTTGATCTTTTGCGGCCGTGTCAACACGACAATGAGCTTAGAACAGTTTAAAATAATATTATCGATTAGACAGTTACCAAAGGTTTAGACAGCCAGTAGCCTTACAAGGGAATACTTGCGCTTAAGACTTTACCTCTTCGAAACATCTAAAAATATATTTTTTGGAGATGTTGAGACCACTACAATCCCAAATCAGTCAAATTAGGTAATAGGTTCATGATGTTATTCTTTTGGTTTTAACTCAGAGGGACATTCTAAGTGGTGCATCAAATTTAATGCTACAATTAGAATGGTAAATTGTATGTAAAAGAAGTTCAATTTCATACACTTGTGTGCGAATGCTGTATCAACTTTGTGAGTCCTTCCAAGAGATCAAATGCTATACTCACGACCAATAATTATTTTTCTCAAGTTAGTTGTATGGGCACAATTGCGAAATTCGTGATTAAACCAGAAAATTACCGTTTCATCATGTGAAAATCATTTATCTCATGTTTGTTGGAAAAATCTGTGATTCGAGAAGTGATTATTTTGCTTTTTGTTGGTTGGGTTTTTTCTACTACTTGATAGGTATGAATTTAGCCACCATTGAGTCATTCCAACAATCAGAATTGTCACAGAAATAGATGCAAACATTTGTCTGCATTGTGGTGAATAGAAAGTGTCGCTGATCTCTTGGACAAACATTTTTTAACGATGACTCATGCATGCACTATAAAGGGTAACGAGGATTTCAGAGCTATCCAGTCACATCAATTCCTTCCAGTGAAATCGCAAGAGTGGGCCAGATATTTTTGATGTAATGCATTGTTTTTTATTGAGAGGTGATCAGGTATCTGGATTTTCTGAATCCTCCAGTGCTTAGATGAGTCATCCTTCGCATTCTTTGTCCAAGAGCTCAGGTAGCGCTTTCTATCCACCATAAAAGCTTTCTGTTCACCACTATTCACCACCTCTACATTTATTTCCATTTCCATTTTTGGAAGAGGAATGCTGATAATGTGACTCAACGACTATTGACATTCACACGTCCAGTGTCCGAAACCAGCCCGCTGCGATACCATCACCTTTGTAAGGTGAGAAGCACTCAGGAGGAACCATTCCGCTCTTCTCAAATTCCAACAGAACTTTGTCTGTCTCGGCTCGGTCAAGCTCATTTTGTGCTTTGCTTTCCTTGACTTCCATCGGATTCCCGTGCACTTTTAATTATGTGATGCACCGTTCAATATTTCATTACTTTTCTCTATCCGTAAATATGCTTTCTGACCTGTTTTAGCTAATATTTTTTGTAAGGAAACACTTAGAAACTTGTTTGAACTGTGCATGGTGGTCAACCGAAACGCACATTATTTAAGCATACACCTTTTTTGCTCCAGCATTTTTCAAAAACCTTCTGCTAGGTTAAGGCTAGCTTCAGCCCAGAGACACTACGAGAAACGCTGATGGCTTTCCGTTACTGTGGTTATTTATTATTTATTTATTTATATAGTACGCTTTCAGTGTTCCTTACAAGGGAACAAAATATACACAGTTATTCATACACTAACCGCGATGATGATGCATCATATAGTTTAAGTCCAATCTGGATAAAATTGTGATGAAAGCTTGTATTTGACTGCTCTATAATTAGATTGTCGGAATTGAATAATGTGATGTTATTGATATGATATGGATATTATTGTTATGATTATTTTAGTCTTTTAAGAAAAGTTTATGCCAATGACATCCAATTTTTTTTGAAAATCGAAAGAGCTGGAAAATCTGTCATCAAGTAAGTTAGAGTCGCTGATAATACAGTTCATTTTACCTAACTAACTTCCAGCTCAATAATGGCAGAACATCATAGCAGCCCTTGCCATAATCATCAATTGAATCATACCATTCAAACCATTAGCTAAACTTGAGGCCTTATTGAAATACGTTCTTTTGTGCTTTTAAATTTTCATTGATTTGTCGCGCAAGGTCATTGTGCTGTAATTTCCTACACTTATTCTATAGTCATAAATACTCGTAATTAGTTTTATAGAGCGTTCCAAGTGAAGCTGTCCATGAAATAGTACCTAAAGTTGAGCGAAATTCTCAAAAAAAAAAGACTTGCCAGCGAAAACAGTGTGCACATCTTGGTAACATCCTGGTTTTGTTCTCTATTGTCGCGTCAGTGATTTTTATACATACTCTTTGGTTAAACTAGGGTAGGGATGGTCGCACCTCTTATTACTGTAAATCCCTAGATTGCAATCAATCTAATAATAGAACTACAAATGTTTTCATTTTCTTACTAGGCCTATTATTTGAGCTTTGAACGATGATGTCATAACATATGTGTCCAGTAGGAATTTAATGAAACAGTAGAAATTTGCAATGGATTATGCTGAAGCTAATCATGCGTTATGGCTTTTTACTTCCTTGCCTGCATTGCATTCTAACATACCAATTTAGTTGGAAACTTGTAATCACTCATCCAGTTTGTCTAAAATGGCAGGCCTTTTGTTTGGGTGAACAACTCATGATCTGTAGCGATTTTTAGGATTATTGTGAAGATAATTTGAGCTAAGGCTTTTACAAAACAGTGTTTCATTTGCATGTTCTAAAAAGCTCATCGAGTTGAAAACTAAGGAATTTTTATCGTTTGTTTGGCAATATTTTGTCTGTAATTTCGTAGTGGTGAATTGAAAGTGTGTCCAAGTCATTTTTTTGCTTGAAAGAGCCCTCTTTTCAAGCAATAAAATGTTCTATTTGACGAATTTATGACACTTTGCAATATTTCTCAATAGTTTAGAATTTTAGCAGGCTTTTAAGCTTTTTATCATTGACTATGTGAACTGTCAGTGATATAGAGATCATATAAAACCGAATGAGAATAACACTAATAGTGTGTTGTGTACAGCATTTTTTTATATGTATCGAATTGTTCTGACGATGTCATCCAATCCATTTCGCAAAGCAAAACAATCAGTTTATGACTGCATTTATGATGTTCAGATTTACACCAATACGCAGATATATTATCCATTTTGTCCCAAGCATAGGATTATCTGATGACATGAGAAGAAAATCTCTTTGCCCACACAATTCTACGTTACTTTCAGAATGATACTGCTATGATGTTTCCAGTTTCATATAGTAATATTCCGCATGCTTGACTTTGAGGCCTCCGTAATGATTCCAATTGCTTTTAGAAGAGGATTTCGTTTCGTTTCAAATTTTCTCATTATGGGTCTCGAATGGGTATCAATTTCAACCGACTTTTCTGCTATTTGTTCCGAGCTTACTAGGATAAACTTGTCTATTGGAAGTTGAGAAGAAAGCAATTACTTTACCTTTTGCTGAAAAAATTGAGAAGTCCGAAATTGTTCTTCTTCCATCGTAAGTGTATAGATCCGTTGCTTTGCAATTCGCTTTTCTGCTTGATGCAATTCGCTTTTCTGTTTGATCTCAACCTATTCATGACTGAAACGTAATTGCACTGTTTAGGTGGAACTAGATAGAATCCTCTAGCAAAAAGTAGTAGACCACCCAAATGACCGCTTATGGGCACAACGCCGGCGAATCTATAGAATGCCTTAGCATTGCTATAGAGCTGAAGAAGGAAGAAAGTGAGCGTTTACATATTGCAAAAATATTTTTTGATTTACCGTTGTCATTTTAGCGGTAGATCAGTACGGAAACATCGTGTACAAGGTGGGATTCAAAATTGGCGGTGGAATTGACCAGGATCCATCTTGTGCACCTTTCAAATACCCTGATCAAGTGAGCAGTTTTTGCCTTATCTCACATCTCAAAGATTAGACTTTGTCTCAGGGCATTTACATCACACACATCGAAGAAAATTCACCTGCCGCAAGAGCTGGACTCAAGAAGCATGACAAAATTTTGCAGGTTTGCAGTTCTATCAGTATCTCACCAAAAAAGTAATCATGTACATCGACAAGAAGTAAGTAATCATAACCGTAATTGATTGGCAAATGAGAATTTTAGAAGTAGTAGACCAAACCGTAATTTGATTGTTCTGCGAGGCTGAGTTTCGTGTTGCAGAAGAGAATGATAGATGACAATGAAGATGTAGAACCACGCTTCTAACAAAAAAGTTTCTGCTATAAAAAAGTTTTTGTTAAAGATTATCCCATGCAGATAGAGCGGATAATTTCTGTGCTGTAATGTTGAAGATGCTTCGTCAAAATCAAAATCGGCAGAATTGCCTCTCCACTACGCATTTAATATCAAGAATTTCGAAAAAAATGAATATTGAAAAGAAATCTCTCTGGAAATATTATGGTCCACGTTTTTGTTAATGCCTCATAGGGAAATTGCCATTCAACTAATTCCTACGTTTTTGAATCCACAAGACTTTTTTTTGAAATGATTTTAGGTGAACGGTCTCGATTTTACACTTCTGACTCATGAACGAGCAGTAAAGTACATCAAGAAGTACGCCGTGCTGGACATGCTTGTTGCCCGACCTGATCTTCCGCCTTTGCAGTAATTTCTTATTTAATCTACGCCAAACACTCATTGAATTATTTTTTGCGTTGCTCAAGTTTCCTTTCATCAGGAGCAGTGATTTGCTACTCATTGCCCTCATTACTTCTTCAAAAGTTACTGATAGAGTCGGAACTTTCACTAACTTCGTGTATTTAATTTGGTTTAGCTGACTACATCCAAAAACGCAGTTTATCTGAAATTTCTATAGAACCTTCCACCCACTTCTCGCTGTAAGAATGTACTTTTGATATAGTGCTTTGCTACTGCAAATGCCGAAAGTTTTATTTTTTATCTTTATTCTAAAAGATTTATTTTTCATCTTATCTTCTCAGCTAGCCATTCTGATTACATTCGCACACAGTTGATCTTAAGATCCACTCATGACTTTTGATTTACTCCTCGCAGAAACACATGTATCTCAGCTCATGCTATCTTGTCCAAGTTTTGTATATGGTTAGCATCCCTTTGTACATATAAGCTGCTTTTTCGTTAAAATGTTGAGCTCTAACTCCTTGCATAGATGTCTAGTTCGAGCATTTGAGTACACAAGTTTTATATATGCTTGTCATCATGTCTGTGTTTACACAACAATAAAGGTTTTTATGAAAGTGATGCTACCGTGGCTCTTCACAGATGGCAGGTTGGATAGTCTTTTGGAGATGAAAAGCAAAAGGAGCCTTTTTGCAGGAATGTCGGCAGGGCTATCACATGAACTGAACAAGCTGTATGAAGAAAACTTTTTCGAAAGGCCTTTCACCTCCACTTCCATCACTCCCACAGAATTTGTTATGACCCTTTTCTCCCCACAAGCAGAACTTTTCCGAGCCGTTGTGACAGAACACATTCAGTGCTGTCTACGGCTTCAAAGCCAAACTAGGAAACGGTAGAGGTGATCCACTGGCAACTTATAATAACGGGCTAAGGGTTGTTTACGTTCGTGTTGTGTGTGTGTCTGAATCTCTGTCTGTCACGAAATTCATGGAGCGAGTACAGCCAAGATGTTGAGCCGACTGGTTGCATAAAATATGCTTCCAGCATGTAGGTTCACTATGCGAGAGGGCGAGCCGGTTCGATAAACGGGTCCTTTGAAAACTGCATCTTAAGCGGGTCCACCCGGCTTTCAAACCGCAAGTGGGATATTATTCGAACTTTTGAGTTGTGGGTTTGTTTGAAAACTAGATTTCCAAGTCATGAACTCTAGACCAAAAAGTTATTGCAAATCTAATCTTTTGCGAAAACTGCGCCAGATAAGAGTGATTGCGTTGATCGCCGGATTTTGCTTGAGGAACTGACAAGATTTCTATTGATGGTTGTTGCTCCCACTCTAGTGTACTTCCGGAAAGCCATAATAAATTAAGAAAATGTTCAAAATTTACCTTTGTTCCTTTACAGAAATGCTTTTCTGCTTCTAAAGTGACCGATCTCACTGAGAAAGGTTTTGGAATGAGTAGTTGATCACAGTTCATATGTGATGATTAGCAATGTGCGGTGAGTTCCATTGCCAATATCATGCGAGCATGGGGAAGTTATAGGCAAGGAGAGACCAGTGCGAGCTTCTGCGAAGCGGTGACGCACTGGTCTTTAGTATCGCATGTTATTTTTATCCCGATATGTTTCATTTCATCGGAAAAGTCTATTGTATCTGGTCATGGACAAAGATCTGGAATGCCAAAACATATAGTGAGTTTCGAATTGCTGCATCCAAGCAAAGCATTTAGCCTGGTCGGCGGAACATGATGTCTTGGTTTGTGCTTCGAAGCACATTGTCGAACCAAGGTGTAAGTCAGTGGTTCCACTGTATAAGCACCGCTTGCTGTAGTCGTCTTCAGTAAAAAGAGCTCTTGCTGGTGCCTATTCAAAATTTCTAGTAGCCACTCTAAGCGCAATCGTCAAGATGAGAAGGGGGACAAGAAGTAAGCTCTCAACAAAGTGACTCTTCAAATGTGCCAGCGCTATTTTTTAGTCAAAGATTGCAATCTTGGTGTGCATAAATCAGCCACAATGAACAATACTTCCGGGCACTGAAACACAGCACGGCACCGCAGCGAGTTGCATATCGGTTTGAGGCAATTTTGCGGAAATCTCAGCAGAGCCTGAAAAAGACAAAGATACGCATCACATCAAACTCTATTTTAGATATCGCCCCTCCAGAGATCTTCTTCATTATGAACAAACTGAGGCAGAAGCAACTAGAGAGTTTACTGCCTGAAACTCTTGTTAGTCTTGAGAGGGCGTCGTGTCTACAGAGCTTGCTGTCATTTTATTATCAGGGCTTTCCACCTGTTCAAAAAATGAAACCTGTTCTATAACCCACCGCGAAATGCTGACCATCACGAATGAATTATAAACAACTACTCATTTTAAGAACTTTTCCTTGCTGGATCGGTAACCATGAATGTATAAAGCTTCTCATGAAAAGAATACAAGAATCGATGTAAATCCAATCTTGTTGGCCAAAAGCCTTGTGAATCCGTAAATATGATATATTCGACGAAGTTTCGTGGGTTTTCACTGTGCAAGCTGTAATACATGCTGAAAGTTTTTTTGTGCAATCCAGCTTTCAGCCAAAATTTGTGCATCATGGCAAGCAGACATACAGAGATATCCAAATAAAACAAACGATCTCATTGCGTTACTGTAAGATTATCAATGCTATTATTATTGACTTAGTCCCAGCAATGTCTTTCACAAGACTGAAATAGAAACTTCTGCCCTGAACAAATGGGTTGCTCAAAACGAGTATGCAGTGGTAGGACATTAGTCCTTCCTCACATGAACTTTCTACTTTTTATGCTAGAAGTTGTTTTGCATACCGGAGGCTGCTAGTAACAAAGACTGTTTCATAACTCTGTTCCGATTATAACCTTTATTTTGCTACACAAATCTGCGCGTCCAAAATTGCTCATTCTTGCCAAGAATTCCTCTTCATAACTATGTGTAGAACTTTCCCATTAGTCTCACATCAAAGACGACTTTGTGCGAAGCCACTAAACTCGTTTCCAAGATCTCCAAGTGCTTACTCGTGTTAAACCCTGCTTCCAGCTGATACAGTCACTTGAGAGAGTGTCAAAAATAAAGTGGCCATTTCGCAACAGATGCACATCGTTTGAAATTCTTTCTTGCGAAAATAAGGCAAAAGTAGCAACTGTGTCAACTTTGAATGTATTCTCTACAGTATGCCCGAAGAAAAGCATATGGTCTGGAAAGCACAAAAAATTGTTCGGCCAGATTTGTTTCCTTAGCACGTTGGCTGCAAACCAATCCACTCATCATAAAGCAGGTATCGTTTGCTCGCTTTCGCTAGAGTGGGCGGAGCACTGTCTACGTACACGCGCGGCGGCTTTGGATGGCGAGAGAGTACAAAAAACAATGCTCTAGGATGGAGGTTTATCGACCGATTACATGTCATGTCATGTCTGCAGTGGTCCGCCCACTCTAGTGAAAGCGAACGAACGATACTCACTAATGCAAGGCCTTGCTGCGTCTTGATAAACAAGAGTTGTTTGGCATGAAAAATTGCTTATAATTTCCTGCCTCCAAGGCGTTGTGCAGATGAGGAAGGTAGATTTGCTAGGATGCGAAGATCATCACTTCACCAATTTTAAGCAACGGAAATAAAGAGGCCAATTTCTTTCAGAGTACTGCTATTTGAATACTGCTGGAAAGGGGAGCAGTCAAAGCACTTTCAGGAGTTTAACAAGCCGAAGCTACCCCTTAGATAGAGGTGCCTTTGACAGTGTTCTGTTGAAAGGTCCAAGTTGTGCTTATTGCTGTTACCTGCGTTCTTCATTGTTCAGGTTCAACCGCGCATAACACTAAAGCCCCCGTTACAGATTTGTTATTGTCGTTCCAAGTTACCAGTAGGGTCTCGCGCACGCTTCACGCGATCTCAGCCGCGACGCGATTTGGCGATACTCCAACTGTTCAAAACTCCTCTTAAGCGCATTCCGAATACACAGAAGATGGGCATTTTATGGATCTCGAAAGTTGTACATAATATGAGTTTGTAGTCTGCAGGTGTTTGAATTGAAGAGATCTGGCAGATTGCCCGATCGTTTGGCGACTGAGATCGCATGAAGTATGTCCGGCGCTTAACGCTAATTTTGTGGCAATTAACCACTCCGACTTTCGCCTCCTTTGGAAGAAATACACAACCGGAAAGGGGGGGGGCAAGCTATCGACTGCAGAAAGGTTGTTCTGCCGTCTTTGCTTAGCAACACGAAAAAAAAATTTTATTATGATGAGGCTTCTATAAAAAAGAAACATCTCTCAGCAACATTGAAAATGGAGAGGAACAGTGCGAAACTGGTGAAAGAATGCGAGCTGGTGCCGATACATGCGGAACAGACGCACAGGTTTTTCAACACATGCTTGACTTCAAAACCACCTATCCTTTTCAGGTCTATGTCCTCATCGCGTCTATCATAATTCTCGTAATCGGGATCTTTCAAACTGTAACCAACCACAGCGCCTTCTACCTACTTTTGCTTGGAGTAAGTTACTGAAGGGGTTTATTGCAAAATGCTAACGTAGATTTACAGATTGCCGCCACTGTGCTGGCTGTGCTGGGAATGACAACGAAAAATTCACTGTTCTATCTGATTCTTATGATTCTCATGGTAAGACACGGCCACCCATCGGCTAATAAAATTTTCAAAATTTTCGGTTTATCTAGTGGACATGTGCTGAAAGTATTTGCGCGTGAATAAAGATGAAAATGGGCAAAATTAGAAAGTATGCGCTTTATGGTGATAATGAGAAAATAACTTTGAAAATAGAGGATCTTCTGGGCAATCCCCATCCATTCCCCCACAAATAAGTGTACTAAGGATCTATTATGGTACTGCCAACATGTCAGTAGAAATTAGTTAAATTTCAGGTAATCAAAATCTTTGATAAACCACTGTTCGCAAGGTGGGAACCGAAAAACTCACAGTCTTTGAACCCTATTTGTCCCGTCAATAACATTCTTAGCAGTGTTGCGCCAAATTCTTAGTACAACTTAATCACGTTTTGATCGAGTTCACGGGAAGGTAGATGAAGTTGAAAACAAAGAGGGTACCACGCAAAACCATGAAGATCTCAGCTTTTCCATAATATTTTAGCATTCATTAGGCTCAGGGGTTAGGGTATGAGGACCTCCATAAGAAAGACAAGAAAAAGTAGAGATGTCTAGGGAAGCGGAGTATGACGCGTCCCTTCTCAGAGCCCCTCCCTGACTAGGTGGGACGTACGTGCACACCTTAAAGGCAGTGTCCCGGCAAATTTTGAATTTGTTTCTGCATGTTTTAGGCTTTTTCGACATGTAGAACCCGAATTTCAGCTTTGAACGCAGTGAAAAAACCGATTTTGGAACGTTTATCCAATTCCCAAAAGCAGAAAGTTCGGACGAGAGTTTTGCTGGGACGTTGGGAGGCCTCGGCTAGAAGACCCTGCCTTTTGTAATTATCGCTTTCAATAGCATGCACGGGAACATCAACCAGCTGGACTGGGCCCGGATTTTTCGTGCCCAGGAACCCCACCACAGCTATATTCTCCAGGGGGCGAATCTGCCAGGACACTGCCTTCAAAGTTCAAGAAGAAAAAATAATGTAAAAGGAATAATGTTAGCTGCAAAACATAGCATCCAAAGCCATACTACGGGGTTCTCAGGTTCTTTATTGTAAGGCTCTGCAAAGAGACCCAAGGTCCGACATTTTTTTGGATACATCCATCAACTAACGGTTAATCACGCAAAAGGACGCTTCAACAATTATGAATTTTGTTTCATTTCGTGTAGTATAATGCTGTAAGTTCCTGGATTGACATGATAAACAGAATATGTTAGTGCATTTCACATGGATGCATTTAATATGCGTAATATTGACGGTTTTAGATTATCGCGGCAATCTTACTTATCGTAGAACTTGTCTTTTTCATCATGAATGGATTCAAAGTGGATTTCAGTAAGAAAAGTCTCATAAATGCTGCTGGAAATCTTAGAGTCTTTTTAAGGGTCAATTATTCACATTTTGCTCGGTGTTCTTTACATATGCTGTAAGTTTCTTATTCTAATTCCTCTCTCTTTTCAATCTGAGATTTATAGTTACAATCCATCTGGCCATTGTTTGCAACTCGCTGCGTTGAGAGACCGACCCAGAAAGAGAAAGAGTGTTCCAGTGCAAGTTTACAAACAACTAACCTTCTTATGATAAAGAGGTTCACGCTACATGGTGCAGCTTGAGAATAATAGGAGAATCACAAAATATTGCCTTTCAAGAATTTGCGAATCATGCAAAAATCTAAAGCAACATTCAGAGCACTTGGCCCACAACGGGCCGTGACTTGACCATTCCAAAGTTTTTGATTGCACAACAAGAATGATGCTGGGAAATGCAATAATTACCTTCCAAAATGTGTGTCAATGCTCTTGTTTACACACACTCGTTGATATGCTGAGTGCGTAGACTGCTCCTGGTAAAAAAAAAACAAACTAATCGCACGCCTTTATCGAATAAATTTTTTTGCTTTTTCCGTTGGTGTCGGTGACTTGCCCTATCAAGAGACCCAGTAGGTTTCTACATAACTGCTACATATGAGTTTTCCACCCTGTATTATGCCAGTGATAATCTAAGGAAACAGGCCTTTCAAGTCCACTTTTTTCTTTTGTGCTTGTTGATGGCTCGAAATGAAGTGCTCACAAATGCAATGAGCAGATATTGCAGACAACATGCTTGCCGACAAGCATTGTACATCTCAAGGAATTATTTGCTCGAGCTTACAGCGGTGCATAAGTTTCTTTACAAGCGCTCGGGAGCTCTTTATAGCCTGAAAACCAGCCAGTAAGTCAAAACTGCAGAAACTTCGGAGTTTTTTATGTGCAATTTCCGCTACGGACACGTCGTTGTTCTAAACAGGGAACGGTACTTGGTGACCCCAGCCATTCATAACGGTTTGTATATCAAAAAATGCGCCTTTTAATGCTGGTTCGAATAGTGTTTTCCATATCTGCGAAACGAGAACCTGAATGGAGTTATAATTATTTTTTCAAGAATGAATTGCCCTACTGCGGAGGGTGAGAATCATTAATAAAAGTTTTTCTTCCCTCTTCAAATTCCGAATATGATATAGATAAGTATCAGTGGCGTACCCAGGATTTCGGCTCCGGGGGGGGGCGACAAAAATTTTTTTCTAATGAAGGTGCTTGGCGTTAGCCAGCTCCGAAAAAACTTTTGGTTTGCTTCTCAAAATTTTTATGGGTCCCTAACCCCTAAAATCCGGAAGAACGCGTGGCGTCAGCCACGCCCCGAAATTTTTTTTTATAAAGCTGAAATGAATTTTTAAAAAATTTTGAAAAATATTTTAATTAATATTAGGTTGGTCCGAAAGTTCGTTCGCACCATTTTCAAAAAATCATAACTTCTTCCCTTCACAACGATTTTGCGCCTTTCAAATTTTATTAGAACGCGCAAAGCATGTAGTTTCCAATAGTTCCCTGGTGACTTTCCAGTATGTTCAGATTGCAGAGATAAAAATGAAAGAACGAGAACATCCGAAATTCGGAATTTTTGAGAAAAAATTCTAAAAATCTAGAAACTGCGCGATAAAATCCAGAAAAGCCATTATCCTAATTTTTCTTATAATTGATTACTAACTAAGTTAAGTTGGTGTTGATCGAGCTCTTCTTTCAAAAGTTAAGTTTTTTGAAAAAAAAAATGCCGAAAAATCGATTTTTTAGGAATCCTTAGGAAAATGATTTTTCGGCATTTTTTTTCAAAAATTCATAACTTTTAAAAGAAGGGCTCGATCAGCACAAACTTAACTCAGTTAGTAATCAAATATAAGAAAAATTAGGATAATGCCTTTTCTGGAATTTTATCGCGCAGTTTCTAGATTTTTAGAATTTTTTCTCAAAAATTCCGAATTTCGGATGTTCTCGTTCTTTCATTTTTATCTCTGCAATTTGAACATGCTGGAAAGTCGCCAGAGGACTATTGGAAACTACATGCTTTACGCTTTCTAATAAAATTTGAAAGGCGCAAAATCGTTGTGATGCAAAGAAGTTATGATTTTTTGAAAATGGTGCGAACGAACTTTCGGACCAACCTAATATTTACTATGAACAAGTCATTTGCACAATTTTATAATTCATGTAAGTAACTTTCAAAAATTTCGCGACCCGTTCTCGGGGGGGGGGGCCTCGGTACGCCACTGATAGGTATAAATACAACGTTACATCCTTCAAGATTCTCCTCAATAGCTTCAAACGGTAAAGGAGATCAAATTGGGTGATTTTAACTACCTAAAAGAACTCAAATTTTTTACGAAAAAAGTTCATAACTGCTTTCATATGACCGTTTCGCAGATTTCGAGCATAGATTTAGAATCAGCGTTTCGAGCTGCACTTTATGGTATACATCGCTTTCCAAATGGCCGGGTCATCAAATTCCCTTTCCTTGTAAGACATGCTCAATTTACTGAGGTTCCAGGCCACTCTTCATTTCGGGCCAACAAAATGCCCTGATGGGGAAAACTGTCGAACTTTCCCAAGCATTATAGTGCTGAGCTCGTATGTAATAGCGTTTAGTTAGTTAAATGGGCTGTTTCGAAGGAAAACGATGGTGCCACTTGCAAAAATTCCCTCCTGAAAAAGTTTGAAAATTGGCCAGTGTTTCCAAGAAATGGGGGCATTTTCTCCCCGCAAACGCCTTTAATTTGAAAAGAAATCGGTTGTGAAGCTTTCCCGTTCATGAAGGGGAGAAACGAACCTTTGAATACGCAATTTTTAGGCAATACCTTACACGTTTTGAGTCCATCATCCGGGCGGATTTGGAGCAACTCAATTCCAGCGGATTGCTAAATGGGGCTCCACATGCAAGCCATAGCCAACCGCGACTGCAAAAATTGCGTTTGGAGAAAAAACCGCTTTAGCATTCTCGACATAGCCCCCGTACGATGCAATCTCTTCCTTACGGGACTATCTAAATTTGCCAGAACACTGAATTTAAGGTTGAGAGCAGCTTTAACAGCATGTAAGTTCCGGAAACCGCAAAACCCCAGTGCAGTTGTTTGAAGTCGATAGGATCTAGAAGGTCTGACAGTTTTCTGTTCTCTGTTTTTCTCGGATTTCACATGAGTAAATAACCAGGCAGATAGATTAGGTGAGTCAGCAAGCATTGTCTAGCGGTTTAGCGTCCAACCGCCCGCATGGCGGGCGTGGATCCCCCATCTGACTGGGTTACGACACGATTGAGAAACTCGAATGGGAGATTGATACATACCGCTCAATAAATTGAACTTTTCACCAAAATACTGTACAAAAAAAATTATAAAGACGAAAAAAATGAGCGGAAATGAGGTTTCGAAACTGCTCGGACTTATTCACAATCTAATGGCATACCTCAAGTTTTAGAAAAAAAACACGATCAGCAAGTAATGTTAGCAATGCGTTTCGTCAACCAGTAACCAACCGAACAAGCATAATATAGCGTTATTATAAAGCGTGTCAAAAAAGCATCTATTTCTGTTGCTACATCGAAGTCGTTTAGACTCACCAGCCTTTTCCAAAGCCGCAACACACGTAAAATCGCCTTCCTCACTTTTCTGCCTGCTTTCCTCAGTCCCATGATTTTCAAAACCACTCATCGGCAAGGGTTCGGTGTACGATTGTCTACGATATGAAATGGATCTACAGAGATGTTTTCCTCGTGTAAGTCACCTTGATGGTTCTGCTGGCACATGTATGTACAGGTGCGCCAAAATTACCGGTGCCACTTTACAAACAGTGCCATGAAAGAGTTACTAAGAATTACAAGCTCAAATACTTGAGAATCAAAAGAATCAGACCGGCATTCAGAAAAGCGAAAATGGAACTATTATACTTTCATAAATTGCTCTATAACTGAATGAACTCAAAGCTTTTCTAAACCCTTTCAAGCTGAGGTTGTAGAGCAAACTTGCACTATCAAATAGGTCTAGTTGCATTTGTAGAATTTTCTCCTTCACGAAATAAGAAAATGCATCTGCGAAAAAGGGTCCGCCCACAAAATAGGTAGTAGCACTAAAATCCGGTGCACCGGCGGGAGTGTCATTTGTCCCGATTTTGACGCGATTTTGTCTCGAAGCGCGGGCGCATGTTCAAACGAGTACAAGTCCGAATTGTTGATTCATTCTGTATTGCTGCCGAAATCCTGAGCTTTATCATAGCAATTTCTTTAACGTTAGTTTCATTTTCAACTCAACTTCCAAGGAAGTTCCACACTCATTTCCTCTGTCACACCTGAGCCAGGCTTGTCATTATTGCTGCACCAGGTAATGCAGGTTTTTTGCAAGTGGGGTGTGCGATGCTCAAATCGCCGACAGTGCTAAGTTCATGTTTAGCCTCTGAGACTATACCGCGACGAACTTCTGCGGACCGCAAATGAACATAAGCGAAATTGAAACAGGTACGTATGTTCTCGGAAAACCTTCATGTGCACTAGATAGGTGGTGGATGTTCAGAGAACAGACGACGCTCGCGAGAAATCTTTCAACAACTCTCGGAGGCAAGCATGGTCTGGAGCGGTCGCGCAAGAATAGAATAAGGAGGGCAGTGTGAGTTTTCTCACCTAGAGGAAGCGATATTTTAAAATTGTACTTTTGCAGCGCAGACATCCGCACTTACCATGAGCCTGAAAGAGCAGCGCTTCTTCCGTCAAAGCTGAGTTATATGATCACTGGTATTGATAATTCCTGATTTTCAGAAAAGGCATGTTGTCATTGAAGGCATCGAAGGCAGCAGTATCACTGAGGAACTACGGATCGAGAAGACTGAACGCGTTGAAGAAAGTTGAAGAGAGAGGAAGCTTGATGATTTTGTCTACATTTTAGTTTTTGTTGTGCTTTTCTCGTAACCTTGTGTCGCAATTGTAGAGCTTCTAAATCTTATTTGCAGCTTTCTGTGCAGTTTTCGATTCCATTGTAAAGCGTGCTCGAGAAAATTGTGGTGTTTATAAAGAAATTTGTTGACTGGGAAGAATAACAGGCGTGAGAAATGAAACCCGAAGACATCAAGGGCAGAAGGTAATTGAAGAGGGAGGCGTGGAGAAGGCATAGAGAGCGCAGAAATCCGTTCATAAGAGCGCAGGCCCAAGCTCTGAACATCGATCGGGACAGTATAGTATATCCCGCAGGTGTTCCAATTTTGTGCAAAATGTGTCGGTCAGGACACCTGATTCTGTCGCGCATTTTGAGCAGAAACAAAACCAGGTGTATGGTTTTGTCGCGACACCGGTTTCAGGATTCGCGCAGGCATTCCGTGACTGAACACATTTTGTCCTGCGGGAGTCAATGGGGAATCTCTGAGCAAGACGTTAATGAGATTCCGGACATGCAAAACCTTCCAGGTAAAAAACAATTCTTTATTCATGGGACTTGTAGGAGAGTATCTAGTTGAAGCCGATTGGTTGAGATAACTTTAAATTGATTTAGAGTACATTTTCTGATCCTAAGGCACCCTCAGATAGGCCGAAATTACTTTCGGCCTATCTGAGGGTGCCTTAGGATCAGAAACCAAAACCAACTTTCGGTGTGCTGCCTCTCAACCACGTTTTTGAAAAATCAAAAATCCTCTTACAAGGGGTGGATACTTGGTCGAAGTGGCGTCTTCATACAATATACATACTGTCTTATAGAGCATGGAACGCTGATTTTAAACCTACTTTTGTTATCTGCAAAGCGCTTCTAGTCGTCGAGTTATGGAAATTTTTGATGCAAAAATTTGAAAGCGCCGCTACGATAGAAACATTCAGAACCTTAGTTCGTGAGCTCAAATGGGGCCATAATTACTACCAGGTCGTTTTATGGAATAAAGACTTTCAATCTAATAAATTCTTGTCAGTCATTACTCTTTTCGTGCTCCGAGATCTCAACACCTATCTTTAACTTGGTCAAATCGTTGAATTTTCATCTAAAAGAATTCCCAGAACTCCCCTCCCAGAAGCGCTTTGCAAATACCGGAAACAGTTTTGAAATCAGCGCTCCATGCTCTATAAGATAGTATACAACGCATATGGAAACGCCATTTCGACCAAGTATCCTTCCCTTGTTAGAGTTGATTTCCAAATTTCCGTTCTCAGCGTTGTTAGAGGCAAAGGCCTGTTCTAGTTTCATGCGCAATTACAAAGCAAGAGATATGGTTATCAAAAAGATATCGTATAAATTCTCAGTTATCAAAACGATATCATATAATTCTCAAAATCATGCTTGCATACAGATACGCCTCAATTGGTGAGAGGAATTGGGTTTTTTCAAAAGATAAAGCAGCCAGATTCTGACTTGAGTATTGCATTACGAGATGGTTGATGAAAACAACAAACGCAGGCGTAAACCTCCTTCAAACCCGTCTAGTATCATCCTTCTGGCACCCAAGCAAACACGCACCAGTAATTTTGGCGCACTTTTAAACATTGTAAGTATAAGAATGTGGAAAATTTATCCCGATAGAGCAAAACAACCTCTACAATATTGCATTGGAACGATCGCAATAAGTTTGATCCATCCTCTTGAAAGCAAAACTCAAGTAAATCAAATAGAAAGATCCCGCGCACTTCTAACTTGGTCAGGCATACTATTCTGCCCACGACAAGCATTCATATATACAGTCGCGGTATTTTCTTCCTTGGTTAAGAATTCAAGAAATTGTAGCAGATGCAATGCTAAGCCACTTCGAGATAGGTAATTCCTAGCCACGAACTTTGGAAATACAAGCGCATAATTCAGCTTCCTGCAATTTTTAATTTCCGAAAATTGATTTTGCATAAAATTCGAAAAAGGCAATAATTTCGCATTTTTGGCCATTTTGAATTTTTAATTTAGCCATTGTAAAAGTGCAGCAATGTGTAGATAAATATCCGATGTAGAAAGCATATGCGTGACCAAATTGGAGCTCCGCAGGATCCTTTTGGACGGAGACCTAATTTTTGGGTATTTATTTCTTTGGATTGATCGCATAAGGAACCTACATTATTTTCCGAATAACCTAATACTTAGATATTGTGATCACCATGATAAACACTCGCGTAGCAGCGAGGACAGCTTTGACGGTAGACTTGAAAATAATTCATATGTTCTCCTGTCTTGAGACCTAAGCACTTTGTAGGACCAGATTATATACGGGGCTTATGAGATGTAGGCTTGCCCCAGCATTTCCACTCTAGCGCTGGACTCTGCGTCTCTTCCGCGAACATGCTCCCTGATCACTTCCAATCATTTGAGGCTCCGCCTTTCCCACGCTCGCTGTGGGAAAGTACTCAGAGAGCATGCTCTCCGAAGAGATGCAGAATCCAGCGCGGGAGTGAGATGCTGAGGCAAGCGACACTTCGTTTGATAAGCCCTATATTTTGGTCCTCACCTCACTAACGCATAGTGGATGAATTTGAATTCGAACTGGAGCAGGCCGGCCGCGGCAGTGCGCAACAGATTCCCTTTCAACTCAAACTTACACATGTTTTCAATCTGTTTTTCTTGTTGTTAGACGCTACTGCATATGTCTTGACGATGGTGGACAGAATTGAGAACTTTATTGTTGTCGAGCAATGCTTGCTTCTATTCTCGCTTGTAACTCTGAGTTTAGGTAAACTTAGCGCGCGGTACTCGCAGCCCTAAATGCCTTACATATAGTTTGTTCGGTTTCTCTTGTTTTTTATCCGCTATTTTTTACCTCGCAAACTACGTTCATAATTAGCGATGATTTTGTTGTCGTTGAGCGATTGCTATACTGCTATTTTTCGTTCTTCATCTCTTCCAAAGTAAGGTTGATGGAACGATGCGGGTGGTTGGTTGGTGATCTAAAATTCACACAGCAAGATTTCAGCACATGTCAATCAACGAAAAAGGATATACATGCTAGATTTACGTATACCTGTGACTTCAAAAGAAGCTTCATCGTATCTCGAAGCTTATTCTAACTCAGTTTAAACGAATGAAAATGTGAGTAGAGACATCGCTCAACAACATTAATCGCCAATTGTGACCAAGGGCACTGTTAAACCAACAAGAAGCGCTTACAACAAGAGAAACAGATAGATAAATAACAAGTGCAAGCTTGAATTGAGGCGGCGTCTGCCGCGCTCTGCCGCCACCGGCCTGCTCCAGCGAATTCCAATTAATCCACTATGCAATTATTCAACTGTGGGTGAGGACCACTACGCCCTCACTTTCCACAGTCAAACAGTGTCTCCTACTAAAAACTAGAAAAAACACTTCAAACTGGTTCGTAGCAAAACGGCAGAGCTTGCATCACCCGCGATTGCATAGTATGCCCTGATGAAAAGGTGGGAGATAGCTCTAAATCTGTTATATACGAGAACTAGTGTTCGGGTGTTCTTCCAATTACATTGGTGAAACTGACCGACCTCTAGGCGTGCAAGTGAGCAGCTAGCAAAAAGCGGTAGGGCATAACAAGTCCACTAGGAAAGCATAGGAAAATAGAACACAGCGTTGCCGGCATGTTAAGTACAGCATTTTAGCTTAGAAAGTCAAATGTCTGCAAAATGCTTGAAGGCAATGGCTCGGCAGACTCTCGATTTGAACTTTTTTGCTTACCTGGGGTAATTCAAGGCGCTGATTCCGAAGATCCGCTGCGCTTCGCCTTTCTGATGCATTTTGAACTTTGCATCTAAAGAAGCGATGCGAATCCTCTGGACCTAGCACCTGTAACTTTGCGTAAGAAAGACCGTTTAGCAGACGTGAAGGACGGATATGTAGTACTCTAATTTCACGAGTACAGCACGCAGTTTTTCATTTCCTAAAACAAGCGCTCGACCCTCGCAAAGTGGTCGCTTTCTTGCGCAATTCTTTCTAAAAAAAGCTGCAGGGGTAAACGGCCGTTTTGTCGAATTCTTTGATGAAATTGGTCTGGTCGAGTTAAGTCTTGTACTTGTGAAATGAGGGTACACTTACACGAGGGTTCTACCATGTATCTGCTGGGATTGGTCGCTTCGAACTCGGCGACCCTTGACATCAGAAAAAGCAGAGGTTTCTTGGTTGGGACCAAGGTCAAGCGTGTGATGCGACTGTCGCAACGGGGGATCGTAAGAGGGCCTACGATGAAGGGGGGGGGGTCGTAAGAGGGGTAGTTTGGATAAAAAACCGTACGATTGAAAGCAAATCAAATAGCAAGTTATTATTACACCAGTGCGCCACCTCTGCTTCGCAGAGGCTCGCACTGGTCTCACTATCTGTATGCCTTACTCATTCCCACAATAATAACATTGAAACTCACCGCGCTATGCAGACTATCATGAATGATTCGTAAACAACTACTCATTTCTAAGACTTTTTCATGTGAGATCGGTAATTTCCCGTGAATGAAACTTTTCCCAGAAGAACAAATGCAAATTCAAATCGGTTTTTGGACTTTTCATGGCTTGGTAGTCGCCTTGAGGACAGTGATCACCGTGGCCACATCACTGTGCAAAAATTTTCACAAATGATCAGGTAAACTCTTGGCAAATTAAAGTTTACGCAATCAATTCTTTTTGGCGCCACCTTCGTAAAGTAATAAACTTTTATTCACTTTTCTGTGCTAAAGTCCATGGTTTGCACATTAGCTTATCAAATGTACTCATGATTTTGCAAAAAGTGCTGCTACAGCATAGTTTTGCTGGCCAGAAGTTAAGTGGATCCGTCTGAAACGCAATTTTTGAAGGATCCATTCAATGGATCCGCTCGTGCTTTTGCATAGTGAGCTTTAATGCTGGTAGCATACGCCATGCAAAATTTGGGCTCGGGACATTGGCTGGAACACGCTCTACGAATTTCGTAACGGACAGACACACACACATACACACAGACAAAAAGACGTAAACAACCCTTAGCCCGTTATTATAAGTCATGATGTTCGTAACAATAAATTCATGGAATGCCGTGTACCGATGTATCAAAAAAAACGAGTAAACAATAATTTGAAAACATTTGCAAGCATAGAAATTCGCTTCATTTGCTGCACTTTTGAAGAATTATGACTTAGTTCTTTTTTTTTTATGGGAATCGCTATTTCTCCCGCAAAATATTGTCTCAAACGGGGATCGAACCCTGTTGGCATGACTAAAATCCAAAAAATAAACCCTTCAGAAGCTCAAATGCTACTAAAGGCATGTATGTGTGATAATGATGTTGGATGTACCGATTGGTGTAGACATCCTGCTTCCGAAGACTCACTGAAGACTCGCGCACTCGACAAAAGCGCACATGTAGATCGACGATGACAATCAATAATTCGTAAATCTTTTTTTAATGCGGCCCTTACAATTTATATGTACTTTAGATAAGCCCTGCTACTGCTGTGCGAAATCTGGTGTTATTTTATAAACTGCGGATTTTCTTATGATTTTATGTATGGTAGCAAAAAATGAGAAAGGGGGGTCGTATCTGCGCCTGATCTAAATTTCTCCGGAGCTATTGAAGCTTGTCAGCTGCAAATTTGCTGTAATACGAGGCCATCCCTCTAGTTTTTATCATAAGAATTTCAGGCTCTTTTATAACTTCTCTGGTAAGTTACAAAATTTTAAGCTCAAAAATCTCAGTTTTTGCTTTTTAGGATCGCATCCAAATTTGCAAGAGCCTGATCTATATTTTTTCGAGCTCACTGCTTCTTAAGGGCTGAATCTGTTTTTATGAATAGCCTGCGCACTATGCTACAGAACCTGTTCTTTGCAGCCTCTCAGTCTTTTCTTGGCCTTAGTTACGAATTTTCAAACTACCGTGCTCATGCATGTTTTTGACGTCGTTCTGGACGGCGCTAAAGCGATTTTTTCCGCAGGAAAAACTGTGGAAGAGGTAAGACCTGAGCTTGTTAGTCAAAAACATCTTTTGTAGTTTAAGAACGTCATTTTGTTCTCTGTGTAATAATTTGTGTCGCATACGGGAATCGAGTTTGCTGGCCTGAAATATGCCTGAAAATTCAAAGTAAACTTGCAGAATCTCAGACATTATTGAAGGTTTGTATATGTGCTAGAGATCTGAGCGCACCCATTGGCCTAGAAATTCTGCTTCCGAAACCTCACTGAAGTTCTCAAGCAGGTGTTTTTTGAGATTGATGTTCGTTCATGCAGGTTACAGCGAGAAATGTGGGCAGGGAAGGTAAGGGGGATAGATGGGAGAGAGGGAGGGAGGGGGGAGGTTGTACGGATGGGTACCTTCAAGGGGGGGGTCGTAAATGAGGGTCCAGAATCGCATCAACACGCTTGACCCTGGTTGGGACAATGCCCGCGAATCGGAAAAAGTTGAGCACGTCTCGCATTCATTCATTTTTTTGCAGCTTCCATAGTCTTATTCTCTGCTGCGCACGTACAAAATTTGTCCTCTATCATTGATTGTTACTCGTAAAAAGCCAAAAATCAATCTCGGGTAACATGGCGCTTTGGAAATTCTAAAGCACTGAGTCGTAATCTGTCTCGACGTGAACTAAACTGCTGACATTTGTATAGTCCTGTATGCACGACATCCTCTCTGCGTTCAACACATTGACGATCGCTTGGCACACATGGTGTGTCAAGGCTTGACAAACCGTGACTCTCATTAAAATGGCTACTAGTTTGTGTCAAACCAACTCTGGGAATTTTATTTTATGCTTGATCTAGATACAGCCTCACTATTTTTGCCAGCATTTCAGCGCTACTGCAGGTGTACTGTAGATGAAATTGTGCGTGATTTTATCTGAAAAATGTTGGCTGGTCCAAGAAAAGCTTTAGTCTCAATGTGTTAACCACGAACAATCCAGCTTGCTTTTGTGCCGCCTGCATGCCCTAGTCTGATGATCTATCGCCCACTCGCAATTCAGTGCGAGTTCTAAGCTGTACATACGAACAAGAAATGCCATTGGTCCGTTTTCCACCCGCAGCGTGAAGCTCAAACTGCGATTCTCACTCTCTTTCAAAGTGCTGTACATCTGAAAGAAACAGCCCTTGATTAGCATAGATCTATATTGCTGAAAATCATGGTGTTCAGGCAACAAAGTCCCTTTCTATCTGATATATTAGGTTGCTGCATAAGTTCTGTCCGATTTGAATTTTTTGAGTTCAAAATGTCATAACTTCTTTCAAAGTCAACTTTTTTCAAGATCTTAGCTTCTTTATGATGAGTAGTTCCTTTGCTATCAGATACGTATTGAGATTTGCAAAAATCTTTGTTAAAAAAGAAGCAAGAACTCAAAAACTTCACAGCGTTTTTCTTCAAACCTGTCTTTTTGACATGGCAATGCTCCCTTATGAGAATTGATAGACATCTTTTCCAACAATGGATAGATAGAGAAGTTTTCGTAGATTTGTTTGCACTACAAAAGAAACCATAGGGTCTTTGTTGCCGAAAGATTTTTTGACCGAACAAAAAATTAGCCACTTTTTGACCTCGCTTCAGCGCATGTGTGCATGCCTATTTACGAATTGTGAAAATTGTACAACTGACGTGAGCGGCGAAAAGGAATTGGAGGATGAGTCATGATAGCTCTTGCTTTGCCCTAGCACTTTCAACTTCGAACTCATCGATTACTTCTATTCGCAGAAAGTTATTGCTTGTAACATCAATACAAAAAATTAGTGTTCGACAACAAATTTTACTAGCAAGACGTTTTCTTCATGGAACTGAGCTTCTGCATATACTAGTCTTCTACACCCTCATTCCGCAACCAATGAAAGAACTTGACTTTATGGGCGCATCGTGGAGATTTCCTTGCAAGAACATATTTCTAGAGTGAGAACGTACCTCGACCAATTGGAGATTTTGAACCTGAAATGTCGTTACGCTAAGAAATTTATTGAAATTTGATATGCATTAGAAAGAGCAAGAAAAGCACTTTCCAGTGATACTAAGAATACCGCATTAGAGATGAAATTCTCTTAGAACAGCTTTTCAAACATAAGGCAAAAAAAATTCGACCAGAACTTATGCAGCAACCTAATACAGTGGCCGTTCGTCAACACTCATCAACAAAATGATCGCATCTTTATTAACTGACTGCAATGTAAAAAGGCAATTGAAATGTGAGATCACAAGTATAAGAGCTAATCACAGGTCCGTATATGAGCAAAGATCGGAGTTCATTTACTGGAGGCAGTAGTCTTGGTAGGGAAAGGATTGTGACTACACTTGAACTGCGGAGTTATAAATTGATAGCAAATTTACTAGCTTTCATCTGTGCAGTCGCTGGAATCCCAAAGCGGATGGGATTCGGGATCCTGGAAGATTGTCAGCGATACGATGAAAGCCAGAAAGCCCACATAGAGTGCAATGCAAATATATTTGATAATCTTCTCCCAAGGTCGCTCCTAAAATTGATTAGCTTTATTCAGCAATTTTTTTATAATTACTTTGAAAAGTGCATGCACGTGCGAAAAGAATTAAGTGTCTCCACAAGCCTTTTCCAGGTTACTTCCCACTTTGATTCAAATAAAGTATTGTTGGACTCTTAAGTATGATTGAGCAAAAACGAAATCACTTTCTAGTCATTAACTGTTCAAAGTATCTTGAATGTTCTTTATGCATGTCATATTTAGTATATACATGATACCTAGTTTCAAGAGTTGTGAAATATGGTACAGGCTGTCCCCAGTGCCGGTCCCAGGATTTCGGACCGGGGGGGGGGGAGGGGGAGGCGACAAAAAAATTTTTCAAATGAAGGTGCGTGGCGTTTGCCACGCACTCCGAAAAAAAATTGGGATGCTTCTCAAAATTTTTGTGGGTGCATCCCCGAAAAAAATTTTTGTAAGGCTAATTTGAATTTTAAAATTTCAAAAAATTATTTCATTTATTTATTAGGTTGGTGCAAAAGTAATGCGCGTTTTGCGAGTTCTCACTTTCACGTGCTATAACTTTTTGAAAAATTCATATTTTTCAGCGCGGCAAAGTCCATCAGAGGCATCAAACCTCTCTCTATACAGCGCACACTAGTTTGTGCTAACATCGCAAAACGGTGAAAAAATATGAAAGAAAATATAAGCAAAAAATTTTTTTTCGGAAACCTCGTTTTTAACTGATCATAACTTCCTTCAAAATTTGTTGTTATAAGTAAAAAGTTGACTGTCTTGTAGCCATAAGCCAGTAGTACAAATAAAAGTTGAAAGGGGCTCAAACAAAGAAGATTTGCGAAAAGGAAAAAATAATATTTAAAATTGTCCGCTTTTTTCGACATTTTTTCGTAACCCTCAAAATCCCAAAATATGGAGATTTTTGATTTTCTGTGTACTGAACAGCATCCACAATTCTGCAAAAACTGTTAACAAGAGGCCCACCCTTACGCTTACAGGAATGAGCAAAACTTTGGCGATTGCCCTCTTCAAAGGAAATCTATGGGCCACAGAATGGTCATAACCATCACTCATGTTGGGGCACCGAAATCTCAGTCTAAATAATTTCTGAGAAAACAGCAAAGCATACACAACGTAGAAAATTTCTGCTACATACAGTAGTTAAATTTTCAAAGGAATGCGTTTATTCGCGCTCAAATTCTGGCCAAAAAAGTAAGTGCAATGAAATTTTGATTTCGAGTGCGGTTGTATGTAGCTCTATAAATTTTTAACGGTTGAGGCTAGAAGCTTCTTTCAACCACCATTGAATAGAGCATGGAAGAAGCTTCTTTAGAGTATGCTGGGCAAGTTTCATAGGAAAAACTTCGATGGAGAAAAGCTGTCTTGAAGTAAGGGCTAGAAAAACGCGCATTACTTTTGCACCAACCTAATACAAGAAAAAGTAACACTTGCACATTTTTATAACCAATGTAGGTATATTTCAAAAATTCTCCCCACCCCCCTCCCTCTTCGGTCCCGCCACTGGCTGCCGCAGCCTCATATGGTGACTTTTCACTATCGTTGCTGTATCCCTGCTTTAGTAAAGAAGTAGGGGGAGAAGGAGAATGTAAGGGGAAAGACAAGCATTGTTAGTCTTTTTTTCGTAAGCGGCAGTGTCTTGAACTTCAAACAATTGTGACTGTTGAAATAACGTACCACAACATTGTAAAGAATCACAATTCCAAAACAAAAGCCAGTTATTCCACCCGCAATGTGAGCCGAATGCGACACCTAAAATGCTCACCAATGACTATTATAAAAATGGGGGCAAATGGGGGCAAACGGGTACCGTGTCACACTCGCTAGAGCCAAAGCGACGAATAAGAGCTGTTCCTATGTCGAACACAAGAAAAATTGAGATCAATGTGAGTCGCACCCATCGAAATGGCATCTCTGCCCAGTTCTAAAATTTTTCCTGTTTCCTGCGTTAAGAGTTATGAAACAAAGCATGGATTAGCTAATTCTAGACCTACGATGACGACATTTGCTAAATGGGCAGTCAGAAGTGCATAAACACCAGCCGAGGCACCAACAACGTATACCTTCGGATCCAGTGTATACTGTAGTAACGACCCTGGACAAAATTCAGATAGGCTCAACTTACGGATTCAAAGAAATAAAATTGACCTGATAAGACAGCCATCAAGTAGAGTGGCGCTATCCGCCACGGTTTATGAACTATTTCGAGAGGCACTCCAATCATTATTTGCACTAGTATATTGCCTAATAGATGAATCAAGCTTAAAATCAAAAGATCAAGTTGAGCAGCCAAGTTGCCATATACTTACCCGGCATGGAGCAAAGCGTACGTAATCAGTCTCCACACTTGGCTCTTCATTTTTGGTGAAAACATTAACGGACCGACATGGTGGTTTACCACGCATCCGGAACAAAATGTGAAAATATCCTCATTTGGTTGTGGTGGATCTGTCCAGTAGTAGTAGAAAAATACGAATATCTGTAAATACACAATTGTTTTTCTTTTAGAAGAGCAATGCATCCACAAATTATGAAAGCTTCAGCGAACTTTTGAGAACAATTGGGAATATATTAGGTTGTCTTATAAGTCTTTTATTTTTGCATCTTCGCTGCACCTATACAATTTTTGTTCTAGATAGACATCAAGATAACATTCGATAGAAAAAGCAAGCATCACAAGTTCATGCTTTTGTACCGGCTTTAATCCTCCCCAAGTTTGGAGCCAAAATCTAAAAAATTTCCGGAGGCTCAAAAAATTGATTTTTTTTATTTTCATCCAAAAAAATTCCAATAAATCTCTTGCTCGCGCACGCATATACACTCATCACACACTCATATTCATTTATTTGATGAGTGCATCCACTGATGCGTCAAAGGAACCTTGTTATGAAAAAAGAAGTATCAAATAACACAATCATGACTTATAATAACGGGCTAAGGGTGTTAACGTGACTTTGTCTATGTGCGTGTCTGTTACGAAATTCGTGGAGCGTGTTCCAGCAAACGTCGTGGGCCCAAATTTTGCACAGCACATGATACCAGCACAAAACTCCACCATGCAAAAGCATGTGCGGATTCGTTGAGTGAAACTCACAGAAATTGTGCGTCAAACGGGTCCACTTCGCTTCTGACCCACAAAATTGGGTCCCTATCAGCACTTTTTGCGAAGTCGTTGAGGTGTTTGACAAGTAAATGTGCAAGCCTTGGACTCCAGCCCAAATAATGGGCATAAATCTATTACTTTGCGAAAAGGACGCCAAAATGGATTGGTTGCGTAAATGGTCAATTTGAAAGCGTTCTACTGCATTTGAGAAGATTTTTAGCAGAAGTGTTGTTCGCGGTGGCTATCGGCCTTATGGCAACTACCGAACCATAAAAAATCCAGGAACCCACTCAAATTTGCGTTTGTCTTCCTGCGAAAAGTTTCATCCACGCGAAATCACCGATCTCGCGTAAAAAGACTTTCTAAATGAGTGGTTGTTTACATCCTATTCGTGGTAGTCGGCCACTGCGCGGTGAGTTTCACTGCCATCATTATGGGAAAGTAATGAGGCATATGGATAGTAGAGTCAGTGCGAATTTCTGCGAAGCAGAGGTGAAGCACTGGTGTCAAGATAAAATCATAGGCATCACCATTGGTCTTATGCTATGAGTTTTCGGGAACATTAGAATTGAATTTGAACTTAGCCTTTAGAAACACAACAGTAGATATTTAGCTCTTTACAAGTTCTAGTTCACGAGAAATGTTGATTCAAGCGTGAAAATCTTGGTGGGGAAAGCTAAATTCGATATTACTCGGGAACTGAAGCTTCTAGAGAGCTAAAAACTTATTGGTGTACTTCTGTGGGCTCGTAGTATACAACTAATAGTGTAAGAACAGCGCAGCATCACTTTGGTAAAAACACAAAAATTTCCGCTTTCTTGATTTCTAGCTGGCAAAAAATACAGTAATGGTACATATGAGTGTGTGATGTGGAGTATATATGCGTGCGCGAGCGAGAGATCGTGGAATTATTTTTAAAAGAATAGAAAATTTAATTTTTGGGCATTCGCAACTTTTTAGATTTTGGTTCCAAACTTGGGGAGGATCAAAGCTGGTGCAAAAGTATGAACACCATCTTGTAAAGCGTGCTTTTTTCTATCGAATGGTATCCTGATGTCTATCTTAAACAAGAACTGTATAAGCGCAGCGAAGATTCAAAAATTAAAGACTCATCGGACAACCTAATAGTGAAGCGTGGCATTTCGCAGTCTATCCGTAAGCTAACTTGATTTCCATGAATCTATGGATTTTTGCAAACCTCAGAAAAAATTACAGGTTAAGTTACTTCACAGCAGAGGCGTACCCAGGATTTCCGTTCGGGGGGGGGGGGGGAGAAGAGGATGCAGAAAAAATGTTTTTCTGATGAAGGTGCGAGCGTTAGTCACGCACATTTTGCTAATTTACAAATTTGAATAAATCATTTGCTCATTTTTATAACTCATGTAAGTGATTTCCAAAATATTGCGACCCATTCTCGGCGAGGATGCCTCTTCCTCTCGGTACGCCACTGCTTCATAGCTATGTATTGGTCGGTGCATTATGAACGTTGAAACGTTGCAATGAACATTAAAATTGTTGCTTCTCATACTCCTTTGCTACCAGAACTGACATTTACAACTATCAAACACTTGCGATGCTCTGTCCATTAGGGCTGGGGGACGGCTAGGCTTAGCATAAAAACTCCCAAATTTAGGGCAGTATGCTTGAAAATCTCTGCATTGAAAGGAGCAGCGTACACAATGATGAAAGAGCCGTATCGAAGCGTGCCGGTATGCCGCCGCAATCGTAACTAAACCTATCAGTCCGCTGTTGGAATAGCCGCTGTGAATAATAAAAATCAAAGCACGGCAGATTCCTGTTTTAGGCGATTTTACTGAGCAGTCAGGCAGAATGTCTTTTGCTTCAAACAATTATTGATTGGAAGAAGCAGTTTCGCTCCCGTTGTTATGTTTGGACTGACGGATTCTAAAAAAAAGAAAGTCATTTGTAACTCAATATGTGGCTATACATTGCGCGCAGCATCGACGCAGGCAAAGCTTTCCCACTTGGACAAATGTAGAAATGTGTATTAGTAACTACTAGATATCGAATTGAACCGAAGGAGGGAGGAAACCATGAGTTCCAGGAGATTAACAGATTTCAAACTTGCAAGGAAGTAGCGCGCTATATGCAATGAGCATAACTACAAATGACTTGACCATATCTGTTGTGAATCAAGGTACGGAAAGAAATTGCTTCGTCGCAGATCTGCGTGGTCCCCTATTTGGTATGCTATTAAGACAGGAGCATGCAGTAAAACCTTTGCTGCATCTCACCCAATTTGGGTGTTTGTATTCACGTCGGCTCGTATGCATAATTGGGGTTCCTGCGGTGAGAGAAACTGCGGCCCTAATTGCGGAAGAGAGCAGCGGCTTTGCTCAAGCTCGATGTTGCACGCCTTAGCCTTCAGTAGTAATCCATGATGGCACTCACTTGAATACCTTCTCAAGTATTAGGGTGTAAAAGCTTTTACTGCCAAACAGAAAGGGATGAACAAAAGTCTTGGACCCTACCTACCTCAATAATGGATACTAGCAGAATAAAAATTGGCGGAGGACAACAAGTATACTCATCAATATAGGAATGAACTTGGAATCGTTGTGAAGGGGTAATAACCTGGTCGGCTATAAGATAGAGTGCCCTTTTGACCTGCGATGATTGTGCTTCATTAGATGTAAGCTGAAAAGACCCATAGATGTAAATAAGATGCAACCGCCGAACTCACTAATTCTTCGAACTCCTCGATTGTAATTCGCATATCGCCATTTTTGTCCGCTTTGTGCAGTAAAGCTTCAATCTGGTCGTCCCGCAGTTTGATGGATTTTCGCTGTTTTCGCAATCGAGATCGTAGCACGTCCAGGGGGATCGACACCTCCTCGAGTGGCTGAGGATCTGATGGAGATTGTAGCTGAACAGAAGGCGCTAGTAGATATTGCAGGCAGTGCTTCATGCTTCACGTGTACGTCAGTAGGCGGTCGTTTATGTCGACAACCGTGCATGCGAAGGTAAGTAGAATAATGAGAACATACCTGTTGAAATTGGGCTAAATAGTGTGAATGATATCGCTCTGGATCGTCATTAAACATCGCCTGCAATCATTTTAATTGCAAATTTGGAGTTTTTCGGACAAGAGATTACGTAGGTTGAGGCGATAGAGATTCGTCAGTGCTATTTTTTCAGAAAGTATTGGTAATGACGGTGGCTCGCAGTGGTGTTCAACATGCGGTACTTCAAAATGAGTCACCACTTAAATCACACAAAGTCCTTTGTCTTCATTTCAGTAAGATTTAAAATGTTTGCCAATTGCTGTCTCGTCATGAAAAAGTATAAAAAGTGGTTGTGACATATAATCTCTAGATCAACATATTTCTACTTCAAGTAGCCTTTTTGAGATCCCAGGTACTTTGATTACGAAGAAGAAATTGTTCTTGATCGCCACATATTCTGTAACAATGAAGAAGAAACTCCTTTTCTTGATCATATAACAATGGATTGAAATTTTATCTCAAATGATACACAAAGCTTTGTCCGAAGGAAATTAAGCTAAACCTTGTGTGGCATACTAGTGTCCCGTTTATATAGTCAAAGTGACAATACAAGAAAGTATGTTCAACAGCCAATCCAACATTCAAAAAAGCCGACTTGGCTCGAAGTTTTGAATTGATTGCCTCAAAAACTGAGATTGTCCAGCTCAACAGCTTTTCTACCAAGAGACCCTTTACTTCTAGCCTGCATTGTTCGCGATGTGCAGAGCACGCATCGTATTCCATTTTCATGGTTAGGTAAAGGCCTTTCAAATGAAGTTTCGCTAGCCCCAGCATCTCCACTCCAGCGCTGGACACTGCGTCTCTTCCGCGGACATGCTCCCTAATCACTTTCAATCAAATGAGGCTCCGAATTTCGCAAGTTCGCCCTGGGAAAGTACTCAGAGAGCATGTTCCGCCGAAGAGACGAAGAGTTCAGTACGGGAGTGGCGATGCTGGAGCAAGCGACACTTCATTTGTTAAGCCCTGTAGTTATCAACACCCTGAAAGCATAGGGGCGGATTGGCGAGCACATATTTGGGAAATTTGAGTATTTGATTGCTAGACTATCAAGTTGATACGTTCAAAAAATTTCCATATGGACCATCCCTATGATAATTATTACAGAAAGCATACTTTCATATTATATTATTAATTCTTCACTTATCCTATTTTTCGCATTTTAATCTCGCTAGAGGCAAACCACCGAAGAAGTCTGCTTGGGACCCCTCACCGCCGTTGATCAATTGTTAGTGTGTGCCCTGTTCCCACTGACGTATACGGCGGACGACTTGCTTCGGTTTCATTATTTTTGCGCGTTCATCGCGGGAATTTGGGTCCTCTTACCCTAGCCTGCTTGCCGATGCAAGGCGTCCGCAAATACCGTAACGGAGACTGGTTTGGAGACGAGTATTTCAGCCACGAGTGCACCATCGCTGCCGTACAAGCAGTATCTCAGTTAAACCCTCCAAGAGCGATCTCCAGGTGCTCAATCCTGAACACTGCTTCCAAGAATGATATGAAGGGAGCGGCGATAGGGCACGTGCGCAGTGTGCCCTGGTCTACGCACGCTTAGGCAAACTGTACGCGGCTTTACACCTGGCCCGTAAGGAGCTCCCCTAGATGGTAGCACGGCGCTCAGAGGAAACATCCGGCCCAGCTTTAGCCTTCTTAAATCAAAAAGAATAGTGTGCGATAAAGAAGCAGAGAACACGAGACTAGTGTCAAGCACGTTGAGCTCGTTCACGAATTTTACAGTCCTAACGCTACAATCAATATCGAAGCTGATCGGCTTCTTGGCACATTCACCACAATACGACCTGTAGTATACGTCATCCGTCTAGTCACCTCTGTAGGATGTGTGTTACTGCACACAATTTTGAAATCCCGAATGAGGTTCTGGGCTCCCGCCATGCCGTACTTGCACCAAGTGCGCATACGGCTAAAATTCGACGCCAACTGCCCTTTTTTTCTAATTTGATGTTTTTTTTGTTTTTAGCTGCATGCACGGTTCAGTTTTCAATGATTTGTTACCTTTACACTCGTGCATTGCCGTTTTGGATCGGATATCTCAAAAGTTATCACTTCTGCTTCCAGGTAAGCGAGGCACATGGGCAATCCTGCAGGATTGTGTAGTAAGTGTGCTTTGTGCTGTGTAGTGTGCTTTGCGATGCCGAATAAGATCCATGGAATTCACAAACATCGCATCAACAGCAAAAATTTCGCTGGAAACAATCTTCTGTGTTTGAAAACAGCTTCTCAGTGAAACTCGGCATAAAAAACCAGGATTTTCAATAACAATCAAAAAAAGTTGAGACTCGTTTTGTCTAAGAGACACTCTTTTCTTTCTACATACGACAATACTGAAAAGCACACTTACTTCACAATCTTGCAAGGTTACCCATGTGCCTCCCTTACCTGGAAGCAGAAGTGATAAATTTCAAGATATCCGAATCAAAAAGGCAATGCACGAGTGTATAGGTAACAAATCAGTGAAAACTAGACCGTGCATGCAGCTAAAAACAAAATAACATCAAAATTGAAAAAAAGGGCAGTTTGGCGTCGAATTCTAGCCGTATGCACTTGGTGCAAGTAAAGCACGGCGGGAGCCCAGCACCTCATCCGGGATTCAAAATTGTGTGCAGTAACACACATCGCACCGAGGTGACTAGACGGATGACGTCTACTATACCAGTGGGTGTCGCTAAACATTGCAAGTTTACTATGGAACTACATGAGATTGCACACGTTAGGGACACTTACTTATATAATTGTTACGCGCTCTCGCGAAAAAGAGGCGTGCTTTATTCATGCCGCGGATGGACGGATAAAGGCGCGTTAAGAGCAAAAGAAATACTTACGGGTGTGGCGATAAGCTGAACGAACCCTCGGATGTCCCGGCAAGCACTCTTGACGGTTCATCATTATGTGAATACTTCGAATAATGATCTTCATCAACAGTAAATAATAACAATATTAGAACTAAGCAACAAGGGAAAAAACTCAATAATACCTCAGACCATCAGAGGAACATAATCGAAATGATTCTATTTGACAGGCTTTCCTTAGCTTTTGGATGTCATCAAGCGAATCACCTCCAGGTGTGTGATATGGCTATTTCCTTCTATGCTCCAAGAATGAGGTTGTGGTAGACCCTTCAAACTACGAAATCATTCTAATTGTAAGATTTTCAATGATAATCAGATCCGGTGAGCCAGGCCAGTCACGAAGATCGATATTTTGCTCAGCGAACCACCCAGATTTTTTGAAAATTCGTAAAATTCTCCCTTTCGGTCTCCTCGCTAACGTGAGTCTATGCAATGTCTTGCTTGAAGACAAGAGGCGGCCGATGGAAACGCACAAGGTACGGGTACGAAACCAAGCGAATTGAGGTTTATGTAATTCAAACTACTCATTTTTGATGAAGTGAGTTGGAGGTCGACGGAGCCAATGAAAGACAATGCCGCCCCCACCATGACACGTCCACCTCCAATTACATTCTTAGGAGTAAATGGGCTTTACAATTTCAGGACTCCCAATAACCATTGAAGCTACATGCACCATCCACTGGATTTCTTCGTAGGATAAAATTACCTGAGAAAAACTTGCAAAATCAAGGTCTAATGCAGATTATCTTGGTTTCTCTTTTTCTTGATTTCTCCAGTCAAGAGTCATGTTCTCACAAGCAAATCCATTCTTACCTTATGGCAAAGAAGACAGGTGCAGATTCATTTCGCACGTACAAGATATTCATTTCGCCAGCTACAATGGGGTGGTGTTACAACGATTTTCCTTTGTATCATTGGCGCTCCTGGTTTGGCCGTCTTGAAGAATTAGCGCTTTCCTGCTAACAAGGGAATTGTCGCGTCTCACGATGCAAGGCGCTCCTCGAAGTACGGAGGCCGAGGGCATCGGTTACCGCGCTATCCGGCGACGATTACGGTAGCCGAGACGCGTGTTGCGCGATCGTCTTCGGACCTCTCCTTAATTGGCTCATTGCCACCCAGGCGGCTACATAAAGCGGCGTCGCCTCACTTTGGTGCCTTGTTCGTCTTTGTGATCGATTGATCTCATTTCTCGTTCGATTATCATTTCAGCCGCTATGCTCCTGTCCTTTTTTGTAAGAGCAGTTGAGCCGGATGTTCTTTGGATTGGAAAATGGATTCTTTTTGTTAGCACATTTCGACGCGCCGTAGTACTAACGGAATTGGAAGTCAAGTTGGAATTTTAACATCCACAGGAGCAGGAGGGGACGTGCCGTCGTCTACACCTTGGCGTTGCGCGGTGGATTCTTGCGCGAAACCTCGACAGCCACTTGTATTCTAGATTACTTCCCCTGACGCGCATCAGTAGCATGGGACGGGCCCTCGTCCCGTGTTTCTTTAGTAGTAGTGTATTAATTTGTTTTTAATTTAGTATCTTTGTCTATTTTTACTTGTAATGTAGTGTCATAAGGATAAATCACTCAAATTATCTCATGTTCCTTTGGTCGCGCGTTAGGTGCGCAGTAGGCTAGGTACGTCGCTTAGTGTCGGGCTAGCATCAGGCCTCAGGTTACATCTAGGTGCCATGAGCCCACCGAGTCGCCACAGGAATGGTCAAAATTCGAAGTGGCCAGTCCCAACAAGCTGTATACTGTTGAACACTCCATGGAGGGCTGGGTACATATCCGCCTTCATTATCTGCTTCTCAGTCTCTCACTTGAAGTAATGGCCCTCGATTCCGCCGTCGGACCACCGCGCATCATAAGTACTAGTCGCCCACCTGATAACGTAGGTGGACTCGTAGCGCAGTGATAAGTGTGCGGACTCATAGGACGACGTGCCTTTTTGTGTGTAAGTTCGATTCCTTTTGCTAGCAACTTGCAATCCATTCCCACCATCTATATTGTTAGCGCGAAGTCCACGCGGTTAGATAGGAAATTCAACTTTTAGAAACCTCGAAAACTTTATTTTTTCTGTAATTTGAGAGTACCAGCCTGGGCTATTATGATGTCTATGATTTTCTTTTCTTTTTTAGACGGCCCATGGGGCACTTTAGAGCTTCACAAAATGTGACAAGACTACCTTCGGCGAGAACATCGCGAGCATATCGGTTGAGTCAGCACAATATTCAAGCCTTCCTTTTTGAAGCGCACTCAAGGTTCTTTGATCGAAAAACCATTTCGTGAAACAAAAATTAGGTTTCCTATCAATTTCAGCTCCACTTTCTTGCTGCTTGCTTCTGTTCCTTCTTGCATTCCTATTCATCAACATTTATTCTCGCTTTCACCATGATCATCCTCAATTCTCAAGGGAGTTTGTAAAAACTAAGCACACAAGAACTAGCTCGTCACATGAGTTCACACACTTACCACTTCGCTACGAGTCCACCTTCGTTACCGGATGGGCGACTAGTACTTTTGATGCGCGGCGGTCCCTGGCGGAATCGAGGGCCATAACTTCGTGTAGGAGATCGAGAAGCAGATAATGAAGGCGGATATGTACCCAGCCCTCCATGGAGTGTTCAACAGTATACAGCTTGTTGGGATTGGCCACTTCGAATTTCGACCATTCCCTTGTGTAAGCTTCTTTTTGCGAGCCTTTCTCTCAACGATATCGTATCGTACAGATTTACTTATTGTTAAAAAAAACTTCCGGCTACGCAGGTTGTGCAACCGACCATTCGGCCAATCGCCCTCAGACCTATCAATAGAAGGCAAACTATTTTCTTCTCCGCCTTCCCTTAGGCTTCCCACGCATCACGTAGGTAACGAGAGTAGATCGAGGTGTTCGTGTAATTATGAATCACCCAAAATTACTTTTGATTCAAATTTCTTATCTAGGCCAAACTTGGTGGACAGACAAGACAAATTGCTGAAAAGCTCGCCAAACATCATCTATGCCATGAATTTCCATGGCTTTTTTTAAGAAGCACGGGAATCCCCAAAATATGAGGATAAATCTTGCTATATGACTATTACAGACAGTGATGATGAATGGTTTAGATATAGAATATTTATCAACAAACCCAAGATGATGGAAACCGCAAACCTTTGGTTTAGCTATGCATAACTATATATTAGGTTGCTCCGAAAGTTCTGTCGTTTTGTTTTTGAAAACTTGTAACTTTTCTCCATGTCAACGGTTTTCCTCTCTGCAATAGCATCTTGGTGAACCTCTACTGTGCACCCAATGCAGTGATAAAAATGGAAAAAAAGGTTATTTAGGCTTTGTTTATTTTGAGTTAGGTCACCAAAAATCTGTGATGTTGCGGAAAAGTCGTCAGTATATAAGTTGTATAACCTACGCTTTCTAACTAAGAAAAGCTTGTGTTGTTTGGACGTCTGTGAAAAGTTACGATTTTTGAGAAAAGTGATAAATCAATCACTTTTGGCGTTTACTAATGTGAACTCGAAATTCAGAACTTCTCGCAGAAATTTCCAAACGACACATCTCGGTTGCAAGGAGTAGGTCATCGAACCTCTGCACTGACAGTCTCAAATCTTTCTGAAATGGATCTTTGGCGACATAACTCAAAATGAACAAAGCCTGAATGCTCTGTTGTTCATAATTTCATCTCTGCAATGAGTGTGTAGCAGATTTTTTCTTTCCCATATAATTACAAGGAAGCAAATTCGTCGAGATAGCGAAAAATCCAAATTTTCAAAAATGAAACGACAGATCTTTCGGGACAACTTTGTAACTGCAGCTGAATGCCTAAGTCGTTATACATGTTAAAGTAAGCTCTCCGACAGATAAATCTGTAAAGTTTTCGAATTAAAAATAACGCTTTCGCCCCATAATCCGGATCTTCTACTTATAAGCATTATTACGAAAACACTAATATCATTAATATTAGGTTGGAAACTAAGTTTTGCAACTGGTCTCATAACTTCCCTCTCACTCAACATGGCGCACTCAAATTTTGCCACTACGTTGTTATTACGTAAGCTACTAGCGCAGCTGCTGTCCTACCAAATTCTGACGTCGCAGTGAGGGTTACGGTAGGTGCATGGTTTGAAGGGGAAAAATTCAAAATTTGACGTATTTGGCTGAAACTTGGCATAGGGGTGTTATCCGACATGCTGATCACGAAAACGATAATGAAATTGCGTGATAAGGGCTTTTTTGTACGATTACTGTAGGTGTACGATATGGGGTCTCATCCTAAACAAGGAAAAAGGCGTTGATTCAACAAATGAATGTGATATTCGCGTTTGGCAGGTCAAATAGCCTTACTATGTAAAGTCTCGGCGGAATTTGAGCTTCGCACTCTTTAGTCATTGACGGTCGTTCCCAGCAGCTCTTGCGTACATCGACTCGTTCGAATTTATGAGGACGCCAAATCTCGACATGCCCCTAAATCTTGTTTCTTTCTTAATAGGCCAAAGGAGTCAACCTCCAGCAATAATTTGTAGACGAATCCGGATTACTGCGCATGGTCTAGGCTGCCAAAGGCTTCATTTTAGCTTGAAACCCCAAAAATTCTCAAATTTCACTAGTTTTTGAAAAACGCCTGAAACTTTTCTATTTCGTGTTCAAAATTTAGACAATTTGTGCTCACATGTAGCTCACATTGCCTTCTACATAATGCCAAAGTTTGAGTGCACCATATCCAAAGAGAGCGGAGTTATAAAACCAGTTGCAAAACTTAGTTTCCAACCTAATATTTTGAGCCCTCGAATGAAGAAAAAAGAAAAAGAAAGAAGAAAAAAAGAAGAAAAATGCGAAGAAAAAATCGCAGCAAAAAATGAATGTGCTTGCAGAATGGAACTTCAAAGAAAAAGGCTTTCTGAATGCGAAAGTTAAACAAGCAAATCGAGCCGCTGGGTACCCTTACAGCGCGTTGACAGCACACAGAGCATGATACAATGAGTACGAATGCTGCCTATTCGGTAAAATAATAGCATATCGAACATGTATGACAGCAATCATAGTCTAACCAAATTACCTACCGATCAACTAGTTTTCCAATTCCAGCAGTCTATGCGAATGAGAACATCGTAGAGCCTATCTTCGTACTTTCGGCTAGAAAATACGTGAATGGAGAAAGTCCAAGTCAATAAGGCACTCCTTTTTCAAAAGCAGTCGGCAAGAATTGAATCTTGGCTGACACATGAGGGTCCGACCACCGAGTTCGTCCCTATGTAGTCGAGCATCGATGAGAAAAAGAGGGGAGACCGTGAAGAGGCGCGGTTTTTTCAGAGGTCACCAAGTTAACAGTGTAATCTAGAACTATGCAAGTCTTTTTAGCGAAGTGTCTAGCTGGATATCTGAGATTATCATTCGCTAAGATCAACAATTCTTGGTGCGGAATATTCGCGAGTCTGCCATTGGGTTGCATTTTCATGGGTTGTTGACGCCCAGCTTCATGTTTTGAATCTATTTTAAGATAACAAAGTTAAACAGCTCACGCAACGATCTTGTAAATCTCGGAGCTTCAAAAGGCTTTTGAGATATCATTTAAAACGTTTTTGAACACAAAAAAGGTAGGTACCGCATGAAATTGAATTTAAACAGGCTGTACACTGGCGACACATATAAAGAGTGCAGAGAAAGATACCGCGAAGAACAAAATACTTTTTGCATTTCTACGACTTCCACTGATTAGCAAAATGAGTTTACAGAGTAAATTTTGTTACTTTTAGTGGCATTTTGTGACATTTCCATCGATAATTTCTTTTATAGAGTTGAATACTGCACTAAAATGTGAGGAAATTTTTTTTTCAAAATTCCTGAACGAGATATGTGCACTCTAGCATAACTTTATGTATGGCATATGTTAAGAAATAATGAAAAGATTCAAATTTATGTGTTTGCATCTTGCTACAAAATGGGAACCTTGAGTTAGCGTTAAATGAAGATGCAAATATTAACGCGGAGATTTCTATTATGTCATTTCATATTAACTATTGTCTTACATTTGAGAATGATGATTCAGATCTTTCCAAAGCACATGACATTTTGAGAATCGCATTATGAAGTGCCGTGGAAGGCGGAATGAAAATGAGAATACAAAAATGTGCATTATCAACACATTCCAAAGATTCTTTACGTTGTTCTGTGCAGCTTGGCCGTTTTTGTTATTCTAGCGATTTATTAGCGGTGACAAATGTTTCCAATCGCTCATAAAAACGCACAGAGCACACAGGAGGGTCTCAGAACAAAAATCAAATGCTCTACGACATTTTACGGTCAAGAGAAATCGTATAGCTCAAAATTCGAACAATGCAAACAAGCAGCAAAAAGTTTGATACCAGGGCATGCCATCTGCAGCTGTGAAGTGCAACGAAAATTTAATTCAGCGAATGCACGAATTGTTTGCTCATAATCGGATGTATGGAGAGGATCGCACCAATTATCTGGTACAATGTTGAAAGGGAGATAAAGCTCAGCTTAGAGCAGGATTTATTCAAGAAAGCGATATGAGCTACAGCTGGAGGGCAAGCGTTAGGCGACAAAACGTGCAAAACGCAAGCAACGTAATCCCGTAACTCAAAACTATGCACCATTTTTTAATTGGCGTCGGGCAATGTATCGGCCCCGACCACCACCCCCCTGTTTTTGGCGGAGGAGACGTTTTGCACGGGGGGTTCTTTGAAGTCCAAAATTGGGTTTGTCGCCTAATGCCCTACACTCGCTACAGCTTATGAACAGCGAAGAAATGAGGAGGAGACGTGATTCTGGCGAACGAATGATAGTAATTCTTGGGTAGTAGGCCCTATATAGACTTTCAAAGTGGAATGGTCCCTGCGCAGCCAGTCTCTAAGCAATTTTCTGTTACGATTTTAAGGCAAAAGAGGGCTCTCACTCTTGATGGACAGGTCTTATAAAGATTGAATGTTATGCATCAGGGTGATGCGATGAAGAGCTCAAGGAGCCTTTTCAAAGTTTATGTATCGAAAACTACATGACTGCGGAGTAAGTGCCAAAGTGAAAGCCTATATGTATTCAATTAATGTGCAGAAATATGGTACAAGAAAAACATACACATGATGTACTTTCAATCTCACACCGCCAAGTCTTATGCTGAGATACATGCTGATGAGGTTAAGAATATACTGGGTAGTAGCAGTTAGTTTGTGTAGGTGACGATATGTTCTCAAATATAATCTATCACCAAAAAGAGCTGCTCATACATAATCGTCAGAAGTTTTGCTCGCCTGCATATAGAAAAGGCAGAAATAGCTTTCTCACTGTCAGTTGATACGGTAACTTCCGGGATGGCCCAAACCGTCCAAAATCTGATAGCAGAAGAAGCACAAAGAGGTAAACATATTCCTTTTTTCCAAAGAAAGCCATAGCAGAATGTTTCATGGCGAAAAAGAGATAGCGCTAATTTTATATCAGGATATAAAAGAACAGAAGATAGAAAGGAAAGAGCAGTAAGGGTGTGAAAAGCTACACATTCATCGACTCCTACCAAGGATGGTACATTGCATTTTAGAACCCTCGAAGAACACTGATTGAAACAAAGCAAACCCCGAGTACCTGGAAAATTTGCAGCTCCGATGCACTTTTGCGGTGGCTTACTAAGCCAAAGCGAGATGAATTTAGTGTACAATTGATAATGGTTAAGGATTGCCTACGCCTTTTGTTTCTTGATGAATCAGTTATGTTTGTTGAGCGAATTTGATATTCGCCTTTTGGGCGAAAACAATTCCTCGAGCGGAGAAAATTGCGATATTAATATCTACAAAAAAGTGAACTCAGTTCATCGAGCGTAGCTAGTAATTTTTCAGATCTAGTGAAGAGAAAAGGAGAAGAGTTTCGCAAATTTTACGATCAGATCACAGCAAAGAAAAGAAGATGTTGATACGATGAGCAAATTTTTCCCAATCATTATGAAGCTTTCGGACACAGATACCTACATTATCGTGATATGCAAGGGTTAGCTCAAACCGATAGTTTCATTCATTTTATGGAGTTACACGCTCTCTGATTATAAAGCAGTAATTCATAACAATGCAAACAAGACAGTTAAAACAAAATTGTTGGTCTGCTGAGTATATGCACATTGAAAGAAAGATGCAAGAGATAAAAATTTTTTTGATCCATCAGATGGGTATAGTTCTCCAGTGAATTGCAAGCTCTTGCCGGAACCACTTAAAAACGAATTTGGTGTTCCACTCAACAATATAGTTACTGTTTGACTTTTTCTATGCCACAACAGGTTTTTATCGGAACTCTTTATTGAGCCTTACGTTTCGGCGGAAAAACGCCGTCCTCAGAGGCCTGAAAGCGATTCAATCACTTCCATCAAACGCTTTAGGCCTAAGGCATACCTCACGCGATTTAGTCAAATCGTTACATCCACGCGACTTGGCGATTTGCCAGATGTTTACAAATCAACCGTGCGTGGGTCTAAAACTAATAGGCGCGTAGCTTCCGTAAGTTACAGTAAAAGCTTCAACTCTGGCTCGTACAAAGCGCGCTCACGACCAGTATGAAGAGTCGCTGCAATGTCAGATCGCGCAGCGACTGGAATCGCTTGAGGTATGCCTTAGGCCTTATGCGACCAAACGCCTTAACCAACTCGTACGTTTAATTCGTCTAAAGTGATCGGAGTCTAGCGTCCAGCCGAATTGACTTACCAAGAGTTCCACAGAAGAGCACGACAAAAGCTCTTTCGGTCGCCTACAGGATATTGTGACAATGAACAGCCCAGCTGAGTTGGACATGTTTATGTAGCTGTAGGTTATCTAGAAACCGCAAAATGATAGGAACGGCTTAAGATCATTTGTGATCGACAACTGTTCATTCTTGCTATTCATTTTCGGATTTCGAGCAAGAATGTATGCGGCTTCCAACGCTTTCCGAGCTGAGATGTTATCCTCGACTGCCAGTATGTTACAACTTATTTCAAAATCTTCGCCTTCATGGTCCTCCTTTCTATGCTTCCCCAGTGGGCTCACGGGGCTCTGTCTTCGTTTGCTGGCCAGATGTTCATTTACACGCACTGAAAGTGGCCGACCTGTCTCACCGATGTAAATGGCCCGGCATGTTTGACATTCCAACTGGTAAACTACACCACTTCGTGAGCAATCCCCTGACCTCCCATTTGTGCACACAACGCAGTTTTGTGACTTGCAAGCTTTATCGTACAATCGATTTCGAACCAGTTGTTTTCTGATGCTATCTTGTGGTATATTCACTAAGACAACATCATCCTCCAACTGCGCTTGCGCTATACATCGCTTAACTGCATTGGTCACTCTGTCGGATATGAACGGCAAGCACAAAGGAATGCGTGCTCGACTTCGGTTGCTTGCGTTAACGCGTGTTCGCCTGGAGGTTTTGGAATGCAGTGGGTACCCGTTGTTGGAAACGATGACGCGTGCCATTTCCAGAGACTCAAGTCTTTCACTTTCGCCGCTGCATACGCTGCTTGCTGTTCTGAACATGTTGCGGATAACCGCACGTTTCACGGCAGTTGGATGTGCAGAGGTCGCGTGCAGAATGATGTTCTTGCTGCTCTCTTTCCGATACCATTTAATGTGCACAGTGCCTTTAGCCAACATCACTTGTGTGTTGAGAAAGGGTAGCCAGCCATCGTGTGGTTCTTCTCTGGTCAAGCAAATGTACTGCGATTGTTCATTGAAGATCTTGAAGCACTCGTCCATTTCGGACTGAGTCGATGTGACAATGAAACAATCTTATATATAAAGCTGAATGTCTGTTTGTCTGTCTGTCTGTCTGTCTGTATGTCTGTCTGTACGTATGTTCCGAATAGAAAATTCCATTTCTGAACCGATCGGGACCAAACTTGGCACACATACACTTCGGGCCCCGGCGGGTGTCATAGGCACTTTTCGTCATCGATCGATGTCGATTTTATCGATTTTTGGAAAATTTGAGCTACGGGGTTGGAAGTTGGCACAGGGGGGTAATCGAGCATGCTGATCACCCCCACGGGGGTGATCAGCATGCTCGATTATACCTCTCTGCCAAATTCCAGCCCCGTAGCTCAAATTTTCCAAAAAATCGATAAAATCGACATCGATCGATAACGAAAAGTAGACTGTGACACTCGCCGGGGCCCGAAGTGTATGTGTGCCAAGTTTGGTCCGGATCGGTTAAGAAATGGAATTTTCTTTTCGGAACATACGGCGGAGCCGGGTAAGCCAGCTAGTCGTCTATATAGCGGCAGTACAAAAGGGGACGTCGCGTTAACACGGGCTCTTCTATCCTGCTCATAAAGCAGATAGCAAGCACCGGAGCTAGTCTTTACCCCATTGCCAGCCCTCTTAGTTGTTGATAATACTTGCCCGCCCATCTGAAGATATTACATCCAAGGTATTCCTTGATAAGAGTAATGATGCGTACTTTACTGAGTCCGTAAGTTTCCATATTTGTAATATGTGAATCGAGGAGCTCAGAAAGTGCCTGTAAGGCGTCATCATTAGACACATTTGTGTATAATGACTCCACATCAAAAGACTCTATTACACAATGCTGATCGAAATTCGTATTGCGTAATTGTTCAAGGAAGCGATTGGTATTCGGCAGATGAGCGGGGGTCGTACTTAAGAGTTGGCTGACAATCTTGTTCAGGAACCATGCAATTCTGTCTGTCGGCCCTCCAACGCAATGATTGGTCGAATTTTACAATTTGCAGCTGACACATTTCGTGGATCGGTCGAGAGCTTATGCGTTTTAACGAGGCTGTAGAAGACAGGGCAGATCGGATTTTCAATCTTGACGACTGAGGAACCTTTCTTCTAAACCGGCTTGTTTGCCAATCACCATCCACATATGGTTCAGCCGTTTGCATTGGGAAAGAAATTCTTTCTCTGTTGAGCGACGATATACTGAATCATTGGATAGGTGATATTCGGTAATGTCACGGTCCAGTGTCTGGGGCATGATAACATCGCCTCCTTTGTCGCTGATCGAAAGTCGGAGAGGGGTCCCATTAGACGTAAGTTCACGTAGCTCCTTGGTTTCTAGATAACCTACAGCT